CCGTGCCAGGGTTGCAAATTAGGCTCCGCCCCCGGCTCCGCCTATTTTTCCTCCCAGATGGTTCTTCCCACTTTTTGTTTTACTCCCAGTTGGTGTGCTCTCAAAAACATGGATACGGTATTAAAGGGACATGCTTCTAAAATTTTCTACAGTAACTTTTTGTTGCCGAAATTTTTAGTTTCCCGGTTGATTTTTTTATGTTTTTTTTTATTATTTTCAATAGTTCAACATATTTTTAAGCCATTTTCTTTACTTTCTACCAATTTTTTTCAGCTAAAACGCCTTTAAACGCTCTAAAACCCATTTTAATTAAAGGCGCACTCTTTTTTCTTTTATTGGGTCTCGCCACGATTCCCTTTCAGTGCCGTTGTTCGCGGCGCGGTCTCCGTATTGAACGCGTCGCGGTAGTTTCGTCATAATTTCGAAACTCGAACAACAGGAATATCCACCCGATTTTTTCCAGATTTTTCGCTAAAATTCGTCTGAAACATGACCGACGCAGCAATGGACATCGACGCGATGCTCGACGGAGCCATGGAAGACGCCAAAAACGTAAGTTATCGACGACAAATTAAAAAATTGAGAAAAATCAATTTTTTTGCAGGAAAAGAGCCGAGGCAGCCAGCGATCACCGGCGCGAAGCAATCGATCGAGGTAAGCTGGGAGGATTATCTAGAATATTCGATTAGATTTTTTTTAAATAATTGAAAAAAGTTCAAAACTAAGACTTGTGTCGATTTAGACCGCAAGCGGAGCAGTACCAGCACCAATATATAGGCAGATAAACATACGGGTTCGTTCCGATCGGTTCGAGAATTTTTGATTCCAGGCAGAGACACTTCTTACTCTACGGCAGACATTACCCCCTCTTTCCCCTCTTTCTAGCCCTTTTCAGACCCGAAAAATGAAGAGTCAGAACGATCAGAAACTTGGAAATAAATGAAAAAAGCCCCCCTTAAACCATAATTTTTTGCTAAAAATCGATTTCAGATCTCGCTCCAGAGACAGGAAGAGGAGCCGCAGTCGAAGCAAGGATCGCCGGCGCAGCCGATCCAGGGATCGTGGAGATCGACGTCGTTCGAGAAGTAGGAGCCGTGACAGGAGACGGAGACGTTCAGGAAGCCGGGATCGTCGGAGGAGCCGCAGCCGTGATCGAGGAGGATATCGGCGACGATCAAGGCAAGGAAAATAATCCAAAAGGCGATGGAAGATGAGGAGAAAATGCTATGGGAAAAAAAGGGAAATTATGAGAGAGAAATGATAGAGAATGAGAGAATGGGAACATTTTTCAGGATTTTTCAGGCAAATTCTTCTAGTTTTCGGCACTTTGAAAGGACACAGAAGGATTGAGAACCCTGAATTTTGACCATGAAATTTCTTTTTTTTTAAATCTCAGTTACCGTAAAACCTATGATAGAAGAACCCCCTTACTTCTTGTCAACTGATAACTTGTTTATCATAATACCACAGACATGTTATCAGTTGTTTTCTTTTGCGATTCCAAAAACTCCAAAGTTAGAAGTTTCCCTTTGATTCTGACTGAGATTTATAGGAGCTCTGATACCTTGTTTAGCCTAGAAGTTCAAATTTTATTTCAAGCTTGAAAATGGGAGCTTCAAACTCTGAAAATCGCTATTTGAAGCTCAAAAACCGCTATTTGCAGCTCGAAAACTGTTATTTCTAGCTCAAAAATAGCTATTTCAATCTCAAAAATCGCAATTTCAAGCTTAAAAATCGCTATTTCAAGATTAAGTTTTGCTCTTTCAAACTCTGAAAATCGCAATTTCAATCTTAAAAATTGCTATTCCAAGATCGGTTTAGGATACCCCGTTTTGTTGCAAAAAATTCGATCTGGAGATACATATTCCTCTACTTTCCATTGCATTTTCAACTGATTCCATTTTAAAAGTACAATTTCAAGACCGAAAGTCCAACTAATCCCATTTCAGAACCCGCTCGCGCGACCGCCGTCGCTCTCCACCACGCCGTCGTGATCGTCGCTCGCCAGTGAGAAGATCCCCGAGAAGAAGTCCGCCAAGAAGTGAGGAATCGTTTGATTTGACCAGGGAAATAGTTGCTGGAAATTGCGACACACAGACAGACAGAGTCGAAAATTAGACAGTTTCAGTGATTTTGGATGATTTTTAAAGTCTGTATGCGTGTCCGGATGTCCGGAATCCGGTATCGTCGTTTTCAAGCAATTTCCAGCTATTTTTCATCGATTTTGATCCTTTTTAAAATAGATTTTCCGCCTCAAATCTTAATTTTTGCAGGCCGCCTACCAGGACCAGAACGTCGCGATGTGATGCCATTCAATCCACGTCACTCGCCACCGAAAAACGCGAAATTGGAGCTATCCGCAGAGGAACGAGACCAACGGACACTGCTGATCATGCAAATCGCTCGTGATACTCGTCCACGCGACTTGGAAGAGTTCTTCTCGTCAGTCGGCGCCGTTCGGGATGTTCGGATTATCACGGATTCGAGAACAGGAAGATCCAAAGGCATCTGTTATGTAGAGTTTTGGGATGAGGAGAGTGTTCCGTTGGGATTGGCGTTGAATGGACAACGGTTGATGGGTGCTCCGTTACAGATTCAGGTAAAAGAAACTGTGATTTTTGGTCCAAATCTAATATTTCAGCGAACATGCGCCGAAAGAAACCGCATTGCCAACTCGTCAGTCGCCTCCACCTTAGGATTCGTTGCTCCAGGAGGCAAGGGGCCGGCTCAGGTGCTCGTCGAGAATCTCCACCCGAAAATTGATGATAAGATGCTGGGCGAGGTATTCGATTCGTTTGGACGCATCGATAAGTTGGATGTGGAGAAGGATATGAATGGAGAGAACAAAGGATTCGCTGTCATCACGGTAAGCTATCTGGATTCTAGACTCTAAAAACGAGAGATTTTGAATCTTAAAGCTTCAGAAGTTAGATTTCCAATAGCTCTAAATTCCTCTAGATTCTTAACTCTAGAAATTCTGTCTAGGAAAGAGAGATTTTGAACTAGAACTTATCAATTTTTGACTCCAAAAGCTTCAAAATATTTGATTTCCAGCCTATATATATATATATATATATAGCATAACATATCTCCTATTTTCAGTTCCGAAACGCCGACGAAGCTCAGAAGGCGTGTGAGCAATTGAACGACTTCGAAGTGGCCGGACGTAAAATGCGCTTGACGATCAAACAGGAGCCAACACCACAACAATCTATCAAGAAGGAGGAGGCATCGATACATCAGAGATCGCTAGATGACGTTGGAGATCGTCAGGTGAGTAGGCGTAGAGCTTAGAACTCTGGAAAAATGATTTTGAAAACTCTATTTATCATGTATTTTTTCTTCTCATACAAATCTCCAAACTATAAACAAAGCCTATCTATCTTTAACCCATATTTAATCAAATTTTACCATTTCCAGGGCTTCTCACTGGGTGCCGGCGGACGTCAACAGCTAATGGCAAAGCTCGCACAAGGAACAGGATCCGGAATGGAGCTAACAGCATCAGCTCAGATGGCCGCTCAACACGCTGGAAACTCGCAAATCCCATCAATCGCCACACAATGCTTCCTTTTATCAAACATGTTTGATCCCGCGAAAGAGACCGAACCACAATGGGATCATGATATTCGAGAGGATGTCATTGAGCAGTGTGCATGTCATGGAGGAGCACTACACGTTTTCGTGGATAAGGGATCGCAGCAGGTGAGGAATTTCTAGCTCATGAGGCTGGTTTTTAAGCTTAAAAAAACTAAAAACCCTTCAAACTCCTCACTTCCAAGCCTGAAAGCCTCTGAGTTTTTCAGGGAAACGTCTACGTCAAATGTCCATCCATCGCGATTGCTCATCAAGCGGTAAGCGCGCTCCATGGGCGATGGTTCAGTGGAAAAGTGATTACGGCGAACTACGTGCCCGTCAACTCGTACCACGATCTGTTTCCGGACGCGGTTCATGCACGACTTCCACTGTCAACACGGAATGTCGTCCCACCACCACAGGTTCCCATGATGACTGTACCACAACAGCAGGTTATGGCTAATGTGAGTTTGAGCTTGAATTAGTCATTTTTGAGTTATAAATCGCTATTATTGAGCTCAACTAGCTGTTTTTGAGCTTTAATTGGTAATTTTCAAGCCTAAAATAGCGATTTTAGAGTAGGAAAATAGCGATTTTCAAGGCCTAAATGCCATTATAGGCGTCTAGACTAAGAATTTCAGCCAAAAAGAGCCAAGAATCTAATTTCTGGAGGTTTTTGAGTTGGGAACGTCAGAAACTACGATTTTCAGCTGTAGCTGAGCCAAAAAAACCGAAATTTCAATTTTCAGGGATACGGCTACGGAATGATTCCAGGACAAGGAGCCGCACCAGCACAAGCACCATACGGAGGAGCCGGTGGATACTATCAATAATTGCTCATTCTTAGATTACGCTATTAATTCTTTTTTGGCAATTTAAATCTAGAAAGTCTAGATTTTTGTATCAAAAATCAAGCCAAACTCCGCCTCCTCTATCTGATACTCTCGATTCGTCTTCCCGATTTTTATTCATTCTTCCTATACCAAAAAATCTGGTTTTTTTTCACATAAAATTGCTCTCTTTTCTCTATAATATCGAGGTTACTTTATTCACTAAACTCAAAATTTCCACTTCTTTGTATTCAATCCATCGAAATATTCCCCCAATGGCCATGAATAAATTTTTCCTGTTTTTTGCACTTGAAATCGCTGAAAATTGAAAAAAAAATCTGATGAAAAATGACCTAAAATGACTGAAAACGAGATAATTCAAAAATCAAACAATTTAATTTCCCGCCCAAAATGTGTTACTGACTTTTTCCCTAGGCTAGTGAGGCTTAGGATTTTTACTGAGGCTTAGGTAATTTTACTGAGGCTTAGGAGTAATACTGAGGCTTAGGAACTTCTACTGAGGCTTAGTAGTTTTACTGAGGCCTAGGGTTTTCACTGAGGCTTAGAAATCTTTTACTGAGGCTTAGGAAGTTTTACTGAGGCTTAAGAATTTTTACTGAGGCTTAGGGTTTTTACTGAGGCTTAGGAATTTTTACTGAGGCTTAGGGTTTTTACTGAGGCTTAGGAATTTTTACTGAGGCTTAGAGTTTTTTACTAAGGCTTAGGAATTTTTACTGAGGCTTATGACAAATTTTGAAAACCCATATTTGAATTTGCCGCGGCTTTTCCTCAGAAAAATGCAAGTGCGCTCCACTGGACTCCAAATTTTTTTCTTTTTTCGGCGGATTTCCACCCGGTTTTTCATCATTTTCCGATCATTTTCGTCCGTTTTTGCTCGAATTTTTTGCAATTTTTTTTGTGTTAGAACATTCTAGAATTCGTTGCAGATGTCACGTCATCCGACGACGCTCCAAGACTGCCGGTATTTTGCCAATGGAATATGTTCGAAAGGGAACGCGTGCACGTATGAGCTAAAAAATGCGATTTTTGGGATTTTAAAAGGAATTTTTGTTTCAGATTTCGACACGATGAAACGGCGAGGAGTGAAAACATTTGTCAATTTCATTTAGCTGGAAAGTTAGTGAAATTTGAAGAAATTCTTGAAAAAAAGAGAAAAATCCGAAAAAATCCTAAAATCTTAGAAAATTGAGCGGTTTTTTGCTTTAAAATCAGTTGAAAATTCCTGAAAAATTCAAAAATACAATATTTTGCTCAATTTTGCCAAATTTTACTGAGGCTTAGCAATATTTTCCATTTCCCGAATTTTCCAGATGCTCATTCGGCGGCGCGTGCCGTTTCAAACACACCGCTCGTCCCTCTCGTAACAACAATATGGACCGCCCATCCTCCTCATCTACAGTAACCCCAGCTACAGTATTGCCACGTGTTCGTCCCGTTCAACTACCAAAACCCAGTGGATTCAACGCCGAGGCGCCGGCTTTTGTGCCCAGTTGGTTGAAGGAGACGTCTTCTGGTGAGCAAGTGGCTGAAAATTGTCAAAAATCGGCTAGAAATGACCCAAAAAAGGTCTTAAGTGGCTGAAAATCGCCGGCAACAGGTTTAAAATTGTCCGAATTTTGATTTTGGTCCCATAAAAGCTGAAAATAGTCAAATTTTTGCCTGAAAATGGGCTGAAAGGGCTCTAAATAGCCCGAAAATGTTCAAATTTGCTCTAAACCCGGCCCCTTTCTTCCAGGCTCCGCCCCCATGTCCTATGCCGCTGCTGCCAACGCAAACTCCGCCCACCTGAATGGACCATCCACGTCTTCGGCAGCAGGATCTAGAAATCCTCAGAATATGATGTGTCCATATAATGAAAAAAGTGGAAATTGCAATCGAAAGGACCTGGATTGCCCATTTACCCATGGCAATTTGTGTGATATGTGCCATCAATGGTGTCTTCATCCGTACGACAAGGAATTGAAAATGAAACATTTACAGGTTAGTTGGGGCTGAAAATTTTGCTGAAAATGACCCAAAATGACCCGAAATTCACTTGAATTCCGGAAATCCTACTCAAAACCCTTAAATTCATCTCCAGCTCGCCTCTAGCTTCAAAATGAGCCCTCACACGACCTGATTCCTTAATTGTTGCACCGTGGCCTAACTTTCATGGCCTAGACAATCGGAAAACTCGGCCACCAAACTTTTCCAACGATATTATACTCATTTTAAAGCTCTCGACAAGGCAAATATAATAATCACTATGAAATTGGGATTGGAGGACTAGTTTGGGATTTCTAGGCCATCGAGACTCGGCCACACTCAAAACATTCCCAAAACGCACCTAGAAAGGGCTTGTTTGGGGTAATTTTGAAGCTTGTGGTACGCTAGGAAAACAAATCTAGTAATAAGACTTCAATATTGAATTTAGAGGGATTTCTAGGCCATCAAAACTCGGCCATAAGACTTTTTAGCCTAAAAACTCCAAATTGTTTCCAGGAATGCACAACGAATCATCAAGCTGAAATGGAACGAGCCTTCCTGATGCAAGAATCCGAGACGAAATCGTGTGGAATCTGTATGGAAATGATACTGGAGAAGAATATGCGATTCGGAATTCTGAACGGATGTCAACACTGCTTCTGTCTGGAATGCATTCGAGAATGGCGATCGAGAGATCAACGAGACGCAGGAATGGCGACAAAAGTGGTACGGTCGTGTCCGGAATGTCGTCAACACTCGGATTATGTCATTCCATCGTTGTTTTGGGTGGAGAAAGGGCAGGAGAAGGAGGTTTTGATCAGTATGTATAAGGATAATATGAAGAGCAAGATTTGCAAGTACTACTCGGTTAGTTTTGACCCTGAAAATGGCAAAAAATTGAGAAAAACCCTAAAAGTGAAGAAAAATGGCTGAAAATTGACTAAGAATCGCTAAAAACGCCCGAATTGTGATCTAGAAGAGCCTGAAAAAGCTTAGATTTCAAAGGTTCGAACTAGCGCCTGAAATTAGGCTAAAATAGGCCTGAAAATGAGCCTAGCCGAGCCTAAATCTAGCCTAAAAATGCCCAATTTTTTTCCAGAATAACAAAGAAGCGGGATTCTGTAAGTTTGGCAACAAGTGCTTCTACAAACATCAACTTCCCGATGGTTCCATTGATCCAGGTAACGAAAATTGGGCCTAGATAGGCCTGAAATTTGTTTAAACGGCCTAAAAATGACCTGAAAATGACGGAAATTGGTCCAAAATTAGCGAAACTTAGCGCTCAAATGCCTATAAAGAGTCAAAATGAATTTTTGTATCGCAAAAATTTGATTTTAGGCTGATTAGAGCTAATTTTGGACAATTTGAAGCCAATTTACACAAATTTTGGACAATTGTGGGACTATTTTAAGCCTAATTCCGGCCTTTTTTTTCAGCAGAATTTCCACGTGTTTTTGAAATTTTCATTTTCCCGCCAAAATTTTTTTCACTGAGGCTTGGGAATTTTTACGGAGGCTTAGGATTCTTTTACTGAGACTAAGGATTCTTTTACTGAGGCTTAGGAAAGTTTTTACTGAGGCTTAGGAATTTTTTTTTCCTAAAAAATTTTTAAAGTCAACTTTTCGCTATTTTAAGCCAATTTCAGACCAATTTAAGCCTATTTTAGGGCTATGTTAGACTTTTTGACCTAATTCTGACCAACTTTAGTCTAATTTTGATATTTTAAGCCTATTTTTTGCAGGAGAGGATCCACACGTTCGTCGTCGTGCTCGTTTGGCCGACTTCATATTCCCGGACGATGAGACAGATACAGATTCAGATGCCTCGGGTTCAGATGGCATGTTCAATTGGGGTGACGATGATGACGACGAGTGGATGGATCAAATCGATGATGGACCATTACAATATGAAGCTCAGTTCTATCGAGCGATCGCTAGCATGGTTCGAGAGATGAGAGAGTTGGGAGGAGAAGGAGGAGGCGAGGGAAGAGAAGCTTCTCGTGGCAGGCAGAATGGCCAGAATACACAGTAGCCCCGAAAACAATCGATAAACTAACTTTGTGAACCCCATTAAATCTTTTCATTCATTCATTTTCGTTATTTTAAACTTCGAAATTCTTCTTTCTCTCACTCGCCGCTTCAAAATGAGCCCCCATGGCCTAACTTTCATGGCCTAGAAACGTTTCTTTCACCTAAATTTGCCTTCAACTCCGGAATTTTCATTCAAAATCATCAAATTTGCGTCCAGCTCGATTCTAGCTTCAAAACGAGCCCACACACGACCTGATTCCGCAATTTTTTAACCGTGGCCTAACTTTCAAGGCCTAGAAAATGGGAAAACTCGGCCACCAAACTTTTTCGACGTGTTTATACCCATTTTGAAGCTCTCGCCAAGGCCAATAAGATAGTCACTATAACATTTGGATAGGAGGACCAGGTTGAGATTTCTAGGCCACCGAAAGTTAGGCCATGGCTTGAAATCAATTTTTTCTTCGTTTTTTTTCTTGTATAAACCGTATTCTCCCTGTCTTTTTTTGCTGAAAATTGCTGTATTCACTTTTTCTCTTTTTTCTGAAAAATCCCAGTCTTTCCATCCCAAAATTTCTATTAAAAAGCGGTTTTTTTTCTCTCGGTCCTCGAAAATTAATTATCTCTAATTGCTATTTAAATACTCGTCTCCTAATTACCCCCATCCCAAATCGCTTATTTATTCATTTAACTGATTGGTCGATTTACGAACAATCTACATACCATACAGAAAAGAAATTATAATTTATTTTCTTAATTTACTTTTTGTTTCTACCTGAAAAGATAAAATAAATATTTTTAATTGGAAATATTATATTTAATTACCCCTAATTATTTTACTAATTGGGTGAAGATTCGTTATTGCGAGAGCGTTTTGCTTTTTCTGGATTTTTTCCCGCCAAATTGACAAATTGTAAGCTCTGCCCACTTTCAAGACCTAGAAAGTCTGATTTGGTACGGTGAGAGCTTCAAAATGAGCCCAAACACGGCTATGCTCCGCCCACTTTGAATTTTCGCCGAGACACGCGACGCACGACCGCGACGCGCCTGAAAAATCAAAGTGGGCGGAGCCTAGTCAATATGGGACTCATTTTGAAGCTCTCAACAAGTCAAGCAAGAATAACACAAAACATTTTCAAGAATCTCTGATTTTCAGCCAGAAGCATCCCAAAATGCTGAAATATGTCAAAAAACAATTTTCATTTTTTTTTTCGAAAATCCAGAAATTGTGAATATTCCCATTGAATCAGAATTTAAAAACGCTTCAAAATGAGCCCAAACACGACTAGGCTCCGCCCACTTTCATTTTTCCGTTGGCGCACGCGACGCACGACCGCGACGCGCCACTGAATATTCAAAGTGGGCGGATCTTAGTCAACATGGAGCTCATTTCGAAGCTCTTTGCGAGCTGAATCTAACTGTAATAAAAGATAATCCAGTTTTAGAGATTTAAAAGAGAAAAAGTCAAAATTTTAGAAAAATTAAAAAATAAATTTTCCCAAAATTTTTTTGATTTTTTTTTCAATTTTCAGAATATTAGTCTTTTTTCAGAAATGTACACAGCGAAATTCTCGCCGGACCATCTAGTTTCCGAATGCATCGACCGTATTCGGGCGGTCACTGACGCTCCATTGGCTCATTGTGATATTGCTTTTCAGACGGTTTTACAAGTTCTAAAACCACATTTATCGTTCGTTTTCATTTTTTTTTAATTTTGAAGATTTGGCGCCAAACGGAGAAATTAGAAATTCGAAAAAAAATCCTGAAAATTCCGAAATTGATTTTTTTAGTCTGAAAGTTCTGAAAACCTTATTTTTCAGCGACTCCTCCTGCTGGAATCTTCTGGAACAGTCATCTCAAAACTATCAGGTCGACATTGCCACGTGTCACGATCGGAAAGTGCTGGAAACATGCTCCAGCGCACTTTATGATATTTTTCAGGAGAAACAAGAGGTTAATAGTCATAATTTCTTATTAAATAAGATTTTGAGTTTTTTTCTTGAATCTAGCTCGTCGAAAGCTTCAAAACGAGCCCCATATTGCCTATGCTCCGCCCACGTTCGTTTTTCATGCGCGTCGCGGTCGTGCGTCGCGTGTCCAGTTAAAATTTCAAAGTGAGCGGAGCCAAGTCGTGTTTAGGCTCATTTTGAAGCTCAGAACGTGCTAAGTATGAATTTGAGCTTTAAATGCGGGAACTTTGTGGTTTTAAGCAAAAAAAATTTAATTTAAAAAATTTTTGAAAGTTCAAAAAAAAATTTTCTGAAAAATTCCAGAATTTCTAATTTTTTCAGCTCAGCTACTCGGCCGAACAGGACGACGAGGCGATTTGCACTCAGCTAGTTTCATTTTGTGACATAGTTGTGAGTTTCAGACAAAAATCGATAATCGATTTTTCTGAAATTTTTGAATTTTTCAGAAAAAAACCGACTACCGTATTCCGCTGGCAGTGACTTCAGCGAATCATTGGGACTGGTTGGCTCAATTATTGATTGTTTTGCAAACGGTAAATTTTTTAAGGCGGGAAATTTGAAATTTCGAAAAAAAAAATTTTTTGAAAATCTGAAATTTTTCAAAAAAAATTTTTCAGAAAAATAGATTTCCAGACCAATTTTTCTGAAATTTTCAAAATTTTCATCGTTTCAGGACCAAAACGACGCTGTAAGGGAGCAATTGCTGATAACGCTAAAAATTCTAATGGAAAATTGTGGGGACCCGGTGAAAAAGTATCTCCTGGACACCCAATTGGCGATTTCTCTCGTCCCGTTGACCCAAAAATCGAATGGAATTCAAATTCCCGCGCTCAAAATTCTGGCACTCATGTATACGGTAGTTGGTGATGACGTGGCAGTGCCTTTGGAGCAAATGGGTAAGTTGAGCGTTTTTTGAACAGCTTTTTTTTGCTCCTAAAATCTTTTCAGAAAAATATTTTTGAAATCTAAATTTATATTTGAATCAAGCTCGTTAAGAGCTTTAAAATGAGCCTAAACACGAGTAGGCTCCGCCCATTTTGAGTTAGGCTCCGCCCACTTTCCGATAGACAGCCTAGGATACTAATTTTTGGCTGAAAAAGCTTGAAACATGGAAATTCCGATTTGAAACTATTTAAAACGTCTCTGGCTAGTTAATAGCTTCAAAATGCGCGTAAACACGAATAGGCGCCACAGAATTTTAGCTAAGCTCCGCCCACTTTCCGATAGATGTCCTAGAAACCTTTAGTTTGGCTGAAAAAAGTTCGAAACAGTAAAATTTTTCATCTGAAACTACTGAAAACGTCTTTGGCTAGTGCAGAGCTTCAAAATAAGCCCAGACACAACTCGACTCCGTCCACTTTCAGCTAGGCTCCGCCCACTTTCTGATAGACATCTTAGAAAACTGAATTTTGGCTGAAAAAAGTTCGAAACATGGAAATTTTGAATTGAATTTGCTAGAAACGTCTTTGGCTAGTTGAGAGCTTTAAAATGAGCACAAACACGAGTAGGCTCTGACCAATTCTAGCTAAGCTCCGCCCACTTTCTGATAGACAGCCAAGGAAACTAATTTTCGGCTGAAAAAAGCCTGGAACGTAAACATTTTGATTTAAAAACACTGAAATCGTAATTGGCTAACTGAGTGCTTCAAAATGAGCCCAAACTCGGATAGGCTCCGCGTACTTTGAGACGTGGCCGAACTTTGATGGCCTAGAAAATGCAAAAACTCGGCCACCGCTTCAAATAGGTCTAATCCAGTCGTTTGGGGTATCATTTTGAAGCTCTATACATGGAAAATTGAATTTCGGTAGTTTCAAACCGTGATTTTAAATGGTGGCCGAGTTATTGAAATTTCTAGGCCACCACTTGCAAAACCTCGGCCACGATGGTCAAAATTGTTCAAAATGGGTCGTGTTTAGGCTCATTTTGAAGCTAATCGCAAGGGAAATCATAATCTGTGCTCAAATTCTAAAAAGTGTGAGTTTTCAGTTTTCAAAAAGTCAAAAAACGAAAAAAAAAGTCAAAAATTTTGCAGACCACCTAAACACGGAATTCTTCCGCCGTCTCTACCCACACATCAATGATTATGATAAAGTGGACGTACTGGAATTGTGCACAAATTTCGGTGGGCTAATCGAAAATCAACAAGACTCCGCCCCTTTTTCGCTTTTCGAACCAATGAGAGACGATCCGTATTCGTGTGCGGAATTCGGGATTGTTATGATACAGGAGACGAATCGAAAGTGTACAGGTACAGTAAGATTTAGCGAGAAATTCAAAATTCGAAAAAAAAATTTTTTTAATCATTTTTTCAGCACGTCGTCTGAAATTCCTCTACCACGTCATCGAGCTCGGCGAGCCAGTTTTGACGAAAATGTTTTATGAGAATGATTTGAAAGTCCTGGCACACGTCTTGGCTCGAGAATCGATCAATCACGATGATCGGGAGGTATTGATTTTTCTTGAAAAATTTTTTTTTCGACTAAAAATATTTTAAGCATTTTCATGGAATTTCTCTTATTTTGTTGTATTCAGCTCGTCGAGAGCTTCAAAATGAACCCAAACACGACTAGGCTCCGCCCACTTTGATTTTTCAGGCGCGTCGCGGTCTTGCGTCGCGTGTCTAGTGGGAAATTTCAAAGTGGACGGAGCCTAGTCGTGTTTGGGCTCATTTTAAAGCTCTCGGCAAGCTAAATCTAGCTATAATAAAATAAAAATCCAGATTTGGATTCTAGGGGAAAATTGGACTTTAGAAAAAAATTTAAAAAATGTTCTTGACTCAAAATCATTTTAACCGGCTTTGCTACCTAATTTGAGTTATTCTGTTGTATTCAACTCGTCGAGAGCTTTAAAATGAGCCTAAACACGACTAGGCTCCGCCCGTTTTGAAATTTTACTTGGACACGCGACGCATGACCGCGACGCGGCCGAAAAACCAAAGTGGACGAGCCTAGGCAATATGGGGCTTATTTTGAAGCTCTCGACAAGTTGAATTCAGCGATAATACAATGAAAATCTGGATTTTGAGTTTTTGAATCAAAATAAAAAAAAATAAATTTCAGAACATTTTTTTTCGAAAAATCTAGTTTTTTTCATTTTTGTCCAGGTCCGTCAACTCTGTCTGTGTTCTCTGCGTCTCTTACTTTCTACGAATATCGTCAAAGCCGACGAAGACATTCAATATGCCCTAGACAATTTTGATGAAACCTAAAATTATTTTTTTTCAAAAGTTCAAAAAATTGTTTTTCTGGAACTTTTATATTTCCCCCCGCTTTTTTGTGATTTTTCCTGCAATTTTCAGTTTTTTTTCTAAATGTGCCATTCCTCCCCCTGAAAAACAAGCTCATAAATTGATCCCCATGATTTTTTCTAATTATTCTAGATTCGTGCTTCTTCTTTCATTTGTGATATATTTTTCCGCTTTTTTCAAATATATAAATCATCAATTTTTTGGCACATATAAAAAATACAGAAAAGGAAAAAATCGATTTTTCTGAAACTTTACAAAAATAAAGAGAAAAAAAATTAATCAATTATTTTAGAAGAAAGTCTCTGCCATCGCTCCGGTGGCCAAATAATATGGGTGGCGCGTCCTTTGACGAGTGCAGCGGAAACCTGGAAATGGAATTTTGATTTTGAAAAAACTTTTTAAATTTCTGAAATTTTTCAAAAAAAATTTCTCTAGAATTTTAAAAATTTTTTTGAAAATTTTCAAAATTTCCAATTTGTTTAAAAACTTATAATTTCATGAAATTCGCTTCAAAATGAGCCTGAACACGACCCATTTCAACATATTTTGATTCATTTTGCTAACCATAGCCGAGATTTTGCAAGTGGTGGCCTAGAAATTACAAAAACTCGGTCCCCATACATAATCGCTGTTAAAAACGCAAAAAATCCAATTTCCCATGTTTAGAGCATCAAAACGAGACATCTAACGACTGGATTAGTCCTATTTGAAGCGGTGGCCGAGTTTTTTGCAATTTCTAGGCCATTAAAGTTCGGCCATGCTTCAAAATGGGCGGAGCCTATCCGTGGTTGGGCTCATTTTGAAGCGCTCAACTAGCAGAATACATTTTCAGCATTTTCAAATCAAAATTTTCATGTTTCAAGTTTTTTTCAGCCAAAATTCATTTTTTCCATTTTATCTCTAGAAAAGTGGGCGGAGCCTAACTCAAAATGGGCGGAGGCTATTCGTATTTGGGGTCATTTTGAAGCTTTTGACTAGCTTAAGATGTTTTAATTATTTTCAAATTGTCACTGACCGGTCCATAGACATTGCTATCATGTCTATGCTGTGGATTGTCTCCTTCCATCCAATAATGTCCTTTTGGAATGTCGGTCAGCCATTCTGGATGCGTCGTTGGACGTACTTGTTGATTCTCGCATGCTGTCACTCTTTTGATGTGCACAGCGTCTTTGTCACGTGGAGAACTGCAACAATAATTGACTGAAATTGCTGAAAATCGATGAAAAAAGCTGAAAATTAAGATTTTTAGGTAAAAATGGACCAATTTAAGTCAATTTTTTACATTTTTAGACTGCTTAGATAGTTTTTTTTGTCGATTTTGTGACTTTTAAAATGGTAAAAACGGCTGTAAATGGTTAAAAAACAGTCGGTTTTCGTTAGTTTGAAGACTTTAATTATGCTTTTTTAGTATTTTTCCCAGTAATTTTGCTCACATAAATGTCAAAATGGCACCCGGAGAGCACTTGTAGAGGTCCCATTTGGATAGCCACACGAAATCCCTCTTCCACCAACGAGCATCACCTCCTTCCAGTGTTGGCTGCATTGAATTGCCTGGAGAATCCACTTTTTTTTGAGTTTTAGAAAAGATTTTAGACAAATTTAAAGCAAAAAATCGATTTTTTGGGGTCATTTCAGCCTAAAAATGACTTAAAAATCGATTTTTCAAACTTCGAAAAAAAAAAATTTTTTTCTAAGTTTTCTAAGCCTCAGTAAAAATCGTAAGCCTCAGTAAAATTCCTAAGCCTCAGTAAAATTTCTAAGCCTCAGGAAAAATTCCTTAGCCTCAGTAAAATTCCTTAGCCTCAGTAAAATTCCTTAGCCTCAGTGAAAAATCCTAAGCCTCAGTGAAAGTTCCCTTAGCCTCAGTAAAAATCCTAAGCCTCAGTAAAAGTTCCCTTAGCCTCAGTAAAAATCCCTAAGCCTCAGTAAAAAATTCCTAAGCCTCAGTAAAAAATTCCTAAGCCTCAGGAAAAATTTTTTGGCGGGAAATTTGGAAATTTAAAATTTAAAATTCTTATTTTCAGTCATGTTTAGGTCATTTTTCATCATTTTTCTTGGGATTTTTCGCTGAATTTTCCAGAATTTTCTAGAGATATCCCTTCTTACCAACAACTTGTGCCGGATGTCCGATACAGTCGAAAAACGTAAACACCGCGCATCCACCTACAGTAATCCTCATCAATTTTCGAGCGGTTCCCACCATTTTTAAGGCCTACAATTAGGGTTTTTTGGCTGAAATTTCGCTGAAAATCTCATTAAAAACGGGTTAAAATATGAAAAAAGTCGATTTTTAACTTTAAAAACAGAGAAAAAAAAGAGAAAATTCTAGCGTTTTATAGGCAAAAGCAGTGAAACATCGGGGGTGAAAATATACAAAAATGTGTCAAAATGGGCTGAAAATTGGCTGAAACCCGGCTAAAAAAGGGCTGAAAAAGTGAAAAATGGCGTTTTGTCAGGGACTAGACTGAAAACTAGGGGAATTTAAAGAGATTTTTGAAGAATTCAGAGCTGAAAATGGCTGAAAATTGAACGAAATTGCTCAAAAATTATCGAAAATCTCATTTTTACAGTAACACAATAACAAATTTCACATCAGAACACAATTTTTTCCAGAATCGCCTTTCCGCTCCTGGGATCCACGTGGCGTTGTCACATTTTGATGATGATACGATGACTTCTGAATTCCAGAAGACGTCGGAATCCTAGATGACGTCGATCCAGAAGGCTCGTAAGTGGGCGGAGCCTGTTGTTCAGAAGTGGGTGGAGCCGAAGAGGGACGCGCCTCCACGCCGATTTCCACGTCATCTTGATGTTCGATGGTAGAGTGGATTACTGTGGATCCTTGGGGTACGGTAGGTGCTGGTTGTGGTGTTGGTCTGAGGATAATTAGAGGTAATTAGGTGGTAATTAAGTCGAAAATTTTGAATTTTCATGATTTTTGGGTCAAAAAACCACAATTTTTGCAAATTTCGGGTCCGAAAACTCACTTAAAATTGTTGAAATCCGCATTTACAAAAATCGAGTCACCATCCACACTGCTGAACGTCTCCCAAACGATTTCTGGCTCATCAGCTAGGCCTTCGTCGGATACCAATTTGAAGATTTCGTTCTGAAAAATAGGAATTTTTAGGGACTTTTCACTGAAAATAGCCGAAAATTGTGTTTTTTTAAAGAAATTTTTTTTAAAAACATTTTTCTCGAAAAAAATTGAAAAAAAATGTTACTGAGGCTTAGGATTTTTTGTTTTTTTTTTTCGCTGTTTTTAGGTCAAAATGGGTCAATTTTGACGATTTTGAGCTCAAAATTAGCCGTTTTTTACGATTCTCTTTTTTTACGATTCCCCAGCTCAAACTGCTTGTTCGGCGACAGCCCAATCGAGTTAAGAGGGCGCGTGCAAGGGAGGAGCTTTCTATTATAAACAACAAGAACCCCAAAGAACTCTTCCATTTCGTTAAATCTAGACTCCGTCCCCCGCAATGTCCCATTTCTCTCTTGGTCAATGGCACCTTATCCTCAGACGCATCTGAACTAGCCAACGAATTTTCTTCCGTCTTCCAAGAGGCCTTCTCGCCCCCAAGCCCTCCTTTCTCCGCCCTCCCTGCTATAGCTCCCTTTGCCGTCCGTCCTGATTTCTCTCCTCTAAATATTGCAAAGCACATCGGTTCTCTACCCTCGAAAGTCGGCTTCTCCCCGGATTTTATCAATTTCCTTGTAATCAAAAAGTGTAGTGATGCGATAACCATCCCTCTTTCGCTCATCTTCCAAGAATCCTTCTCCTCCGCCAAATTTCCTGAGATCTGGAAGCACTCGGTTGTTAGTCCAATATTCAAGAAGGGATTCAAATATGACGCTAATAACTACAGACCCATAACGCTCACTCATGCACTTTCCAGACTCTTCGAAAGATTAGTCCTTGAAGAGCTAAAACGTGTTATCGGTCCGAGTATTTCTCCGAATCAGTACGGATTCGTCAGTAAGCGATCCTGTGTTCTAGCCGTCCTTGAGTCCACTTCCAGAATACAGAAAGCCTTAGCAAATAAGCAACAATTCGTAGATGTTATTTACTTTGATTTTCGCAAGGCATTCGACACTGTCCCACACAATCTCTTGCTGCTGAAAATGAGGCGTATAGGTATTGATGAACGATGCTGTGATTGGTTCGAGTCCTTTCTCAGCAACCGCTCATCCAACGTCAAGGTTAATGGCCTAATGTCAACCAGCGAGATTGTTGTCAAATCCGGAGTCCCCCAAGGAAGTGTCACTGGCCCCTTTTTGTTTCTGATCTACATTAACGACTTGCTCGGCCTCTTTCCTCCCAATGTTCATGTCACGGCGTTCGCCGACGACCGAAAAATAACCGGTTCCGACCCATTGGATATGCAGAGAAGTATCGAAATCGTCGAGCACTGGTGTGACACCTGGAGACTCAAACTAGCCGAAAATAAGACGGCCGTTATGCATTATGGTAAACGCAATCCTAAGACAGTTTACTTTATTAACGGATCCCCCATTACTCCGCATCGCTCATTCAAGGACCTAGGTATACTAGTTGATGATTAACTTCAATTCGACAAACACATCAATCTTATTGCCTACTCTGCTAAACTCAAGTCCCGCCAAATACTGAAAACGTTCCAATCGAAAAACCCTTGTTTATATTTCCGTCTCTTCGACACCTACATTAGACCGGTCCTCGAATACGGTTGTGAACTTTTCGATCCATCCAATGCCACACTTGCCAATAAACTAGAATCTCCTCTTCGTTTTTTCACCAGAAAAGTCTTTCAGAGATGTAATATGCCCCTCAATTCATACACCGATCGCCTATCCCAGTTCTCTATGCTAACCACCCTTCATCGCCGCACCCTTCTAGTTCTTCGTACCTATCACAAAATTGTTATAAACTCATACCATTTTCCCTCTATGTCGTCCTACATTCTTCCCAGCCATTCTAACAGAGCCCCCCGTATTTGTTCAAAATCAACGGCAATACTTTGACTGCTTCCTTTACAGAAACTTGTCTATGTGGAACCGTGTATGTAAGGTGATAAATTCTAAGCTCAGTCCGGTGGCGTTTGCTAGGCGAGTAGGGGCGATTCCTTATGATATTCTGATCCCTCCCACTTGACCTACAGGACTCTAGTCGGTCCGTCTGGTCATTTTACTTTTTTATTTGTACAGGTCCCATTTCTTGCCAAATTATCTATCGATTTCCCCCATGCATTGCAAATAAATATATTATTACCTTGACTTAAAACTGGTCGTTTTTGACCAATTTAGACTGTTTCTTCGGTCGGAAATGGGCCAATTTTTGTTCTAAAAACTCACTCGTCTCTTGTGAATCGTCGAGAAATGGTTATTCTGAAAAACCACTGCAATATCCCCATCCTTCATAGTCTGTAGAAGCGATGCCAGGCCTTGAAACGTGATTTGGCTGATCGAATCCTCATAGAATCCCTTGATAATCTGCGTCTCCACTGTCTCATCGTTGATACACACTTTTTCAGCCAGCTCGTTGTAATTAAGAGCGCTAATCAGTCGAAATTGGTCGGGAAACTGTGGATCGGGCAGCCAAACATGGTAGAGGTCGACTGCTACCAAATCGAATAGCGATAGTGCTGGTGTGAACTCGAATGATGAGATGGAGCTGAAAATTTGTGAAAAATGGCTTGAAATAGGCTGAAATAGCTTTAAAATTGCCTAAATTAGTCAAAAATTAGCTCACTTTTCGTTTTTTAGGCCTAAAATTAGGTTTTTTGAACTTGTAGGTCAAAAATTGTTTTGATCTTCAAAATTCCGGGAAATATTTATTTTTTGGCAATTTTCAGCTCATTTTTCGTCAGATTTCTCACGTTTTCGCCTATTTCTCACCTAAATTTAACATTGACATCCAGACCATTAACCAATTTTGGCATCAGACGTATCACTGCGTCCACATTGCTCTCGTAGATCTCTTTTTGCTCTTTTTCGGCGGGCTCTTTGGCTAGAATCAAATTCGACAGTAGTTCTATCAGCCCAGTCGCCGGGAGCACATAATCCTTGCCCAGAGTGATTTTTCCTAGAAAATGGGGGTTTTTGGCTTAAAATTAGTGGGAAATCGGGATTTTTGAGTAAAAATTCGCTGAAAATCTCGATTCTTATGGTTTTTACCTTTCAAAACCAAAGCGTTCATAATTGCGATCAAGGGACATGGTCCGTTGAGGTTCTGGGTCACAATTTGGTAGTCAATCGGTCCGAATCGCATCTTTTTGGTCTGAAAAATTATGTTTCTGGGAAAAATAGACACTTTCAAAAGGGACTTTAAGCTCAAAAATCTGAATTTTTGATGAAAAAATGCATTTTCAGCTGAAACTTGAATTTTTTTTTGATTTCAAAAAAAAATTTTTTTTGATTTCAAAAAAAAATTTTTTTCATATTTTTCAAATTTTTCTTTAATTTCCAACTTTGAAATATTTTTGCGCTCCTTCTACGGTTGTCTCCACACTGATATCCCCGGATTTTCCGGGCTCTTCGATTGGTTCGATCTGAAATTTTGTAATTTATCGATTTTTGTGTTTTTCTCCATTTTTTGCTTATTTTTCCATACTTATTACCCATTATCATACAAAAAGCACTCACTTTTTCGGATTTCTCGTCATTTTCTGCGGTTTCCGGCACTTTCTCAGCTGGCGGGCTCATTTTTAAAACAGGATGAGGAGAGGTGTTGTTTGCGCGGAGAGTGTTGGGTATTGGGGTACGCGGTGCGCGAGAACTGACGCCAAATTGCGGACATTGCTGCACGTGAGATGCGGCTGAAAACCTGTAAAAGTCATGACTAATTTTTATTGTTTAGGGGGAAAATGGCGAAACTTTGCGAATTTTTTGATTTTCGGGCCGTTAATTTTGGTTAGAAAGTCTGAAAATCCACAAAATTGGCTTGAAAAATTTCTCAAAAATCTGAAAACTTCAAAAAAAAATTTTTTTTTCAATTTTTTGCAGTTTCAGATATTTGTTACACTTTCAGCAGTTCAAAACTTGTCAAAAATTGAGATTTTGCAGTCAAAATTCTCCAAAATTGCTCAAAAATTTTTTTCGCAATTTTGAAAAAAAATTGTATATCAATTTTTCGTTTCCTAGCTCATTTGTTTGGCCTAAATATGAGTTTTTGCAGTCAAAATTCTCTATAATTGCTCAAAATATAATTTTAGGCTTCAAACAAAAGTTTTTTTCATTAAAAATTCTCATTTTTATGTTCATTTTTCCGTTTTCTAGCTCATTTTTGGCCTAAAATTGCTCAAAATCCTTCAAAAACCTTCAAAAAATTTTCTAGATGCAAGATATTGTGAATTCGTTCAAATCGGCGGCACTTTCGATCGGCGAAACATTCACACCGGTGCTAAAAGAGTCGAAATTTCGAGAAACCGGAGTTTTGACACCCGAGGAGTATGTAGCCGCCGGCGATCACCTCGTCCATCATTGTCCCACGTGGAAATGGTCGACGGCATCGGATCCGTCGAAAATTCGGCCATTTTTGCCGGCTGATAAGCAATTCTTGATCACCAAAAATGTTCCGTGTCATAAGCGATGCAAACAAATGGAATACGATGAGAAATTGGAAAAGGTGGAGATTTTGGACATTGAAAATCGAGAAAAATGTAAAAAATTAGCTCAAAATGACTGATTTTCCGACTAAAATATATCAAAAATCACTAAAATAGCGAAAACTTGGTCGAAAATAATCAAAAAATGACTGAAAATGGCTGAAAATGACTGAAAATGACCCAGGATACCCGAAAATTTAATCTGAAAAAAAAATTTTCTAAGCCTCAGTAAAAAAATTTTTATCAAAAATATGTTTTTTTGAGCTCAAAATTACTGATTTTCAGTCTAAAATAGTCCAGAAATAGTGAAAATTTGGTTAAAAATGGTCTGAAAATGGCTGAAAACGACCCAAGAAACCCTAACAAATCTATCTAAATTTTTTTTCTAAGCCTCAGTAAAAATTCCTAAGCCTCAGTAAAAATTCCTAAGCCTCAGTAAAAATTCCTAAGCCTCAGTAAAAATTCCTAAGCCTCAGTAAAAATTCCTAAGCCTCAGTAAAAATCCTAAGCCTCAATAAATAATCCTAAGCCTCAGTAAAAATCCTAAGCCCCAGTAAAATTCCTAAGCCTCAGTAAAAAACCCTAAGCCTCAGTAAAAATCCTAAGCCTCAGTAAAAATTCCCTAAGCCATTTCAGGTCGTTTTTGACGGATTTCGCAATAATTTCAAACTAATTTTTGTCAATTTTAGGCCCTTTTGGAGTTTTAAAGGTCAATTTTACACGAAAGTAGTTTTCTAAGCCTCAGTAAAAATGGCGGGAAATTCAAACATTTGAATTTTTCCAGATAATCAACGACGACGAAGGAGAATATGCGACTGGCGAGGAATCTGGATGGGTGGATACGCATCATTATGAAAAGGAAAAGGAGACGACCGCTGTTGTTACGGAGGTACAAAAATTTGAATTTTAAAGAAAAAATGCAAATGCGCTCTACCGAAATTTTTTTATTACGCGTCTGAAAACCGATTTTCGATGCTGAAATTTGCTCTAGACGACTCTACAAAGCACTGAAGTCTCTAGAAATCAATCTAGAGCTATTTTGAGGAGAAAAATACAAATGCGCTCTACCAAAATTTTGCTCTAATTCGCTCAAAAACTGCCAAATTTTTCCTATTTTTCTCGTTCTTTCTCCTAAAACCCTTGCAAATAGTTACAGACGTCTCCCGCCCCGGCTCCGCCCACTTCTCCAGAATCCGATGACGATAGTGATGGAGAAGCACTGGATTTGGACGATTTGATTGAATCGGGAGCGCTGGATTCAGATGAAAACGACGATGATCCAAATCGATTTGTGAATGAAAAGGCGGCAAAATTGAATACGTCTTCTGGAGATGCTGCTGGCGCGGAAGTGGAAAAAATTCGAACCTATGATTTGCACATTTGCTATGATAAGTATTATCAGGTAAGCGATTTTGGCTGAAAATTGCTTTAAATTCCTGAAAATTAGGCCAAAAATGGCCCAATTTGAGCCGAAATGGGTCAGAAATTCGTTAAAAATTGCGAAAAATCAGTCAAAACGTCTAAATTTTGGTTTGAAACAGCGACCGATTTGAATAGAAATGATCCAAAAATGACCTAAAAAAGCTAAAAATGAGCCAAAAATTCATCAAAATTGGTTCAAATTGACCCAAAAATAGTCTAAAACCAGCGGAATTTTTTTACTGAGGCTTAGGAATTTTTTACTGAGGCTTAGGGATTTTTACTGAGGCTTAGGAATTTTTTACTGAGGCTTAGGGATTTTTACTGAAGCTTAGGAATTTTTTACTGAGGCTTAGGGATTTTTACTGAGGCTTAGGAATTTTTTACTGAGGCTTAGGGATTTTTACTGAAGCTTAGGAATTTTCTACTGAGGCTTAGGGATTTTTACTGAGGCTTAGGAATTTTTACTGAGGCTTAGAAAACCTTATTTCAAACCGATTTTTATTGTTTTTTTTTTTGGGTCATTTTCAGCCATTTTCAGACCATTCTTGACCGATTTTTTGCTGTTTAAGCGTATTTTGGACTATTTTTCCGCTATTTCAGCGATTTTAGACTATTTTAGACTGAAAATCGGCAATTTAAAACTGAAGTTTCTAATTTTCCAGGTCCCACGCCTCTTCCTGATGGGATACGATGAGAATCGCCGCCCACTGACCGTAGACCAAACGTACGAAGACTTCTCGGCGGATCACTCGAACAAGACGATTACTGTAGAGACGCACCCGTCGATGGACCTCCAAATGCCTACAGTACACCCGTGTAAACATGCGGAAATGATGAAACGACTCATCAATCAATACGCCGAGTCGGGAAAAGAGCTGGGAGTCCATGAATATCTCTTTTTGTTCTTGAAATTCGTTCAAGCCGTCATTCCGACCATTGAATATGATTTTACCAGAGCTATTAAGCTTTGAGAAGCTGTGTGATTTATTGATTTTTGTGAGAAATTGGCGAAAAAATGGCGTGAAAAGCTCAAAAATTGGCTGAAAATGGCTTAAAGTCTTAAAAATCCCATTTTTAAGACAAAAATCAAAATTTCCAGCTTTCCACACTGTTTTTTTGCCCATTTTTTGATAGATTATCAATAGAGCGCACTTTTCCCACTTACCCCATTTTTCTCTTCCTTGTTTTTTCTTTGCAAATTCGCTCCAATTGACGGGCCCCGCCCCTTTTTGCTAACTTTTTGAACAAAGTCCAATAGAGCAAATTTGCCCCCATCACACTTTTTTTTGCATTTTGTAAAAATTTGATTTTTTGAAAGAATTCCAGATGCCTTATTTTTCGATTTTTCTCTGTAAATGAAGATTTTCGTGTGCCAAAATTTTTGAATTTTTGATTTTTTTTTCGTTAAGCTCCGCCCATTTGCAGGGATCCCAGAAAGAAACACTGGATTACTGTAATTTTGAAAATGTTTTTGGTGGTTCTTATACAAGGGTTACTGTAGTTTTAAAAGGTTTTCTTTAAAGAATGAGTAATCAAGTGAAAATTAAGGATTACTGTAGTTTAGGGAATGAGAACTCAGAAGGGTTACTGTAGATTTTAGATATTAAAGGTGAGCAATCCTGGGATACTGTAGCTTTGGAAAGTGGAGCATGAGCAATCAAGATGGCTTAGGATTACTGTAGTTTTGAGGATGAGCAATCCTAGGATACTGTGGTGGTTCCAAGATGAGTATGAGCAATTAAGTTGGGATTACTGTAACGTTAAATGCTGAGAAATCCAAAAGGATTACTGTAGTTTAGGGATGAGCAATCGAAAGGATTACTGTAGATTTTGGATATGAAAGATGTTACTGTAGAAATAGGCTCCGCCTCTTTCTTCTGGGGGCCAGAAATTCCGGAGACTGATTCAAGGAAGCTTCTAGAATCATGTCTCAGGAATGTCTTGTCTCCAGTGGGGAGGGGATTACTGTAGAAATATTAGGAATAACGAGAAACAGTGAAAAATGAGCGATTTCTAAAGGCTTTTATGCGTTTTTCCAAAAGTGGGCGGAGCCTAAAAAATGTGGTTCCCGAACATTCCAAATAGGCTCCGCCCACTTTTTTGATGGGGGTGGAGCCTATTTTTATGCAATTGCAATCGCATTTCCAAAACTACAGTAATCCAATAAAGCGTTAAAAGGAGAAAAAAGGAAAAGTGAGGTACAGTAATCCATGTTACTTTTTTTTCTCAATTTGAAAAATAAACATTTTTTGGTAATTTCAAAAAAAAAATAAGTGAATCTGAAAATAATAAAATTTGGCTGAAATTTGAAATTTTTGAAAAATTGAAAATTTGGAATTTGAGGTACAGTGATCCAAAAAAAATTCTTTGAAAAATGAAATTTTTTGGGAATTTCAAAGAAAAATCTGGAAAAAATGAAATTGGCTGAAAATCAATTGTTTTCAAAAAAATTCAAAATTTGGAATTTGAGGTACAGTAATCCTTCAAATTTCTAAAAAACGCGCCAAAGACACCCCAGCCAAAATCCTTTGTTTCTTTTTTTGGTGCATTTGCGCGTCGTGGTGTATTGCGGACCTTCACCACCATAGATAATGGGCCCGGGGGCCGATGGTTCCGGGCAGTTCATTGATTTTTTAATATTTTTCTAGAAATTTCCAAAATCCAAAAATTCAGAAATTCAAATTTTTCAAAAAAATCCAAAAAAATTTTTTTGGAATTTTCAAAAATTCAGTATTGCCCAAAATAATTTTGGCTCCTAATTTCGAAATTTCTATTTTTATCCGAAAAAAACTAGAAATTCGTCATCCTTTAAGGTTGGGGATACTGTAGTTCTTCTCATTTATCACCAGTGACTCATTTTTCGCTTTTCTCTGCGTCTCTCATTTTTGTATACTCTCTCATTTGGCTGCTTTGAGTCATCAATTTCGGATATATTAAGGATGAGCAATGTAAAAAGATTACTGTAGTTTTGAATAAAAAGTAGGCTCCGCTTACTGTAGTTCAAGGATGAGCAATCAAATAAAAATAAGGATTACTGAAGTGTTGTCAGAACATAAATATGAGCGATCCTGTGATACTACTGTAGTTTGAAACGAAAATCAAGTTAGGATTACTGTATCTCTTGGTTATTCATGATGAACAACTCAAAAAGATTACTGTAATTTTATCTCAAAAAACAGACTCCGCCCCCTTTTTCCAGAATCTCTAGATTGTTAAAGCACAACATCAATCAATTTTCCTGTGTGATTTTGAGCTTGAAAGAATCTTGAAACCCCTAATTTCGAAGGGTTACTGTAGGAAATTTCTGGCCCCTTTCTGCTGGGGGCCAGAAATTCCGGAGACTGATTCAAGGAAGCTTCTAGAATCATGTCTCAGGAATGTCTTGCTCCCGTTGAGAAGGGGTTACTGTAGAAATTGGAATACTGTAGAAATAGGAATATTGGGGATTACTGTAGTTTCGAGAAACAATGAAAAATGAGAGATTTCTGAGGGCTTTTATGTGTTCTTACAAAAGTGGGCGGAGTCTAGACATTCCAAATAGGCTCCTCCCCTTTTTCGATGGGCGGAGTCTATCTATTTTTTTGGAATTTTTAGAACATTTTTTTCTATTTTTGGAGTTTTGCAATTCTAGAAAAAAACTTAAATTTTCAGACATTTCAACTTTTTCAAAAAAATGTTTTTCCAGAATTCAAAAAATGCAATTAACAGAGGAAGAATTGACACTACAGGAGTACAATGAAGGATTCTGGTGTTGGTATTGGTCCAACTTTTTGGATGTGCTTGGTAGGGACAAAAGGTTGGTTTTGATTGAAAAAAAAAGATCTAAAAATGGCAGAAAATGGGCTGAAATTGACTGAAATTAGCCAGAAATTAGTACTATTAACTTTAAGCTCAATTATCTCGGTCCCCATAAGAGATATCAAAAATTTGGTAACTAATAAAATATAGCTGATATTATGATTAATATTTTATCAGTTGACCACTTTTTGATATTTCTTATAGGAGCCGAGATATATAGGCTGAAAGTTAGGGTAATTCTGCAATTTTTAGTTTTTCACCCATTCTTACCATTTAGCTTTGAACCTATACATCTAGGTTACTGTAAGAGATATCAAAAAGGTGTCAACTAATAAAATGTTTATCATAATATCAGAAGTTGTTCATCAGCTTTCCAATTTTTGATATCTCTTATAGGAGCCGAGATAATTGAGCTCAAAGGTGACCGTGTGGTTTTGTAGGTTATATACGGTACATTATGATTTTAAAATGACCAAAACCAGCCAAAACAAGTGGAAAATGGATTAAAATGACTTGAAAGTGCTAACAATTGTTGCAAAACACCCTAAGTAGTGTTAAATGACCTAAAATTGTATAATTTTAAGTTTAAAAATGTTAGAAATCCCAAAATTTGACTTTAAATAAGCAAATTTTCAGCATCGAAGAGCACAGAGCTGACTACGCGGAGCACCTGAAAAACAAGAAAGAATCAGAAGACTATAGGTGTGATTCTTGGAATTTTGAAATTTCAAAAAATTAGCTGAAATGTAAATGATTAAAACAAGCCCCGCCCACTTTGGAAAAACGATATTTTGCTGATATCAAAGTTTTTGGGATTACTGTAGTTTTAGAAAATCCAATCATAATGCATAAACCAGACTCCGCCCCCATCGGAAAAAAGGGCGGCGCCTATTTGGAATGTTCTCGAATCAGATTGTCTTGGCTCCGCCCACTTTTGCAAAAACGCATAAAAGCCTTCAGAAATCGCTCATTTTTCATTGTTTCTCGTTGTTCCTAATATTTCTACAATATTCCTATTTTTACAGTAATCCCCCCCCCCCCCCCATGGGGACAAGAGATTCCTGAGACCTGATTCTAGAAGCTTCCCCTAGAATCGGTATCCGGACCCTCTGGTCCCCTGGAAAAAGGGGCGGAGCCTATTTCTACAGTAACCCTTTAAAATAGGGATTTCAAGATTGCATGATGCTCCGAATCATACAGAGAAATTGATAGATTCTGAAATCAAACAATCTGTAAATTCCAGGAAAAAGGGGCGGAGCCTTTTGTAAACTACAGTAATCCTTCTGGGTTGGTCATCATGAATATCCAAAAGGCATAGTAATCCAAATTGATTGCTCATGCACAACTTCTCAAGGTTACAGTAATCTAGGATCGTTCATTCATTGAAAAACTACAGTAATCCTGATCGAACCAAAAATTGAGAGTCTAGCTTTCCATGCTATGTTTAGTGGTCCCTGCTGATAAGAGATATTGTCAAAAACAGGGAAGTTTTATATCATTTTGTAGAACTGTTTAAGTTCTACATTTTCCATTTTGAATAATTTCAAAGTTTTGATTTTGAAAAAAGTTACAACCAATTTACCGTAACCCACTCGAATAGGATACCCCTCCTCCTCCTTAGAGCTTATATATTTCGGCTCTTGTAAAAGATATCACAAAGATGTTAATTGATAAAATGTTGCTGATACTATGATAAACATTTTATCAGTTGACCACTTTTTGATATCTTTAACAGGAAATGAGATAAATTGGCTCAAAGTTTAAAGTATAAATTTTCAGAGCCAATTCCTCGTTATCAGTTGTCACGGTGATAGAGGGCAATGGACAAGAATCAGGGTCATCTGGAAGGTAATTTTTTCAACTGAAGTTTTTTTCAAATCTACAGTAATCCCATTTTTGCAGCGAAAACGACGATGAAACAGCAGCTGAAATGAGCCAAGAATCAGAAAGGTACGACTTTTAGAATTTCTTCGAAAATCTACAGTAATCCTAAACTTTGCAGCTCTCAAGAAGTTTCTGAAGAAAATTTTAGATCCTTAAAATCATCTGTAAAAGAAGAAGAAGAAGAAGTGAAGAAGAAGAGCATTGGGATCCCAGCAAGCCTAAATCCTGAAATGTGGGAATCGGATTCGGATTAATTTTTGATCTATTTTTTGACCCGATTGTGTTTTTTTAAGATTTAAAATTTTATATCATTTTGTAAAACTTTTCAAGTTCTACAGTTTCCAATTAAGTTTGTCCAAAAATGTTGATTTCGAAGGAAGTTACAACTCATTTACCGTAACCCACTCGAATAGAATATCCCGCCCCAGATCATCCCGTTTCCTTTGAGCCCTTATATCTCGGTTCCTGTAAGAGATATCAAAAAGTTGAAAACATATAAAATGTTTATCATGATGCCAGCAACATTCCATCAGTTGACCGCTTTGTGATATCTCTTACAGGAACCGAGATATTTGAGCTAGCTCAAAGCTGACTGCAATTTTCAAAAATTTTCAATCCAAAATCTCTATTTTCACCATTTTAACTACATTTTCATACTTTTTAACCCAGATTTTCAAATTTCCCGCCCTTGAAAACCCCAAAAAAACACTTTAAAAATGAAGTTTCCACCGGCGGGGTTCGAACCCGAGACCCCTGGATCCAAATCGTCGAAAATCCCACTAGGCCATGTGAGAAATTTTTCAAAAGAAATTCTAGAAAATTTTCGGTTTAAAAATTGAGTTTTCGAAGGGTTTTTGGGGCTGAAAATTGTGTTAAATTGTGTTTTTTGCTCGAAAAATTCCAAAAAAAACAAACAGAGAAAAATTATTTATTTTAAAAGAAAATGTTCCAAAAAATGAATCCCAGCATATTTTTTTTAATGATTTCACAATAAAATTGATAAGAGATAATTAGTTAATTGACCAATTAATAAGTGTTTGGTGCAGTTGTGATAGCAGCAGCTGGTGGTGGTGCTGGAGCAGCAGCATCCGAAGCGGCTCCCCAAGAATCGGCGGCCGCGGTCGAGGATCCAGTGTTCCAGTTGGCAGATGGAGCAGCTGGAGCAGCGGCGGATCCAGTGTTCCAGTTGGCAGATGGAGCAGCTGGAGCAGCGGCGGATCCAGTGTTCCAGGAGTTTCCAGAAGTCTCCGATTGCCAAGAATCGACGAGTGGCTGAGAGGCGGCGGTGTTGACTGGAGCGGCTGGGACGGCGGTGAAGGTGTTGCTACCGTAACCAGTTGGGTTGGAAGCGGCTGGTGGGTTACTGTAGGTGGATGGGTTCTGGAATTCGAAAGATTTAGGAGCGCTGTTAAACAAAAATTCAAGTTTTGCTATTTATTTTATAATAGAAGCGCAGTCAAAAAACTTTAACTTTGAGCCCATATATCTATGTTCCTTTAAAAGATATCAAAAATTTGGTAACTAATAAAATGTAGCTAATATTATGATAAATATTTTATCAGTTGACCACTTTTTGATATCTCTTATAGGAGCCTAGATATATAGGCTGGAAGTTAAGGTGATTCTGCAATTTTCATGTTTTTACCCATTCTTATCCTTTAGCATTGAACCTATATATCTTGGTTACTGTAAGAGATATCAGAAAGGTGTCAACTAATAAAATGTAGCTGATATTATGATAAATATTTTATTAGTTGACAACTTTTTGATATCTTTTACAGAATGAAATATATATTTGATCAAAGTTGGCTACTCCCACATATCTCTCAAATCTCTCATTCTCCTTGCTAGTATTTAGAAACGTCGAATAAATTTGCAAAAAGTGACTGACAGCCAAAAAAAAGAGAGAGAGAGAGAGTACACAAAAAGTGAGAGACGCAGAGAAACAATGATGAATCACTGAGTCAGGGGGGAACAATAAGACCTACAGTATCCCAATGACGAATTTTGTCTTTTTCGTTTGGGGAGAATTCTCGAAATAGAGGTTTTTTTCATGGATTTTGAAAGAGGGATCTAAAAATTGACCTTTTGATCAATTTTAGACCTTCTAAAACCATTAAAACTGATTCAAGACAACATTTTCGAATTCTGAGCCATTTTTTAGGTTAGTTTAGGCTTCATTAGACTAGAATTTAAGCAAAATCAACTATAGGCTTTGGTGGGTTATTTAAAGTCAATTTTAGGCTATTTTAAAGCATATTTCAAACTATTTTGACCTATGTTAACCCATTTTCCACGCCTTTCCCTTACCTGAGCAGCTGGATTGGTTCTTGGAGCACAGCAGACGCACTTGACGTTGGAGTGATACTTTGGTGGGGACCAGTCGGCTTCCGAGACGTAGGTGGAGTCGACACGATGGTATTTTCCTCCACGACGACGGCGCTCATCATCATCCTCATCCTCATCATCGTCATCGTCATCAGCGCCTCTCTTGGATCTCTTGAATGTCTCGTCATCGTCGGTTTTGGTGAGTGCCAGGAATCCAAAGAGCTTGTCATTTGGAAGGGAAGTGTCACGACGGGCGGTTTGTTGGCAGCAGAGGTTGCACGAGTCAATGTCGTGGTTGGCGACTTCAGCACACTTCACACGGACGGCACGGTTTGCTGGGACGGATGGGTTACCGTAGTAGCCGGATGGACGGTGATGGTGGCGGTTGGAGTCGACGACGAGGAGGACGGAGGCGTCGAGGTCGCACACGAAGCCTGGAATGTTGGAAAGGTTGTCATGATGGCCTTACTATAATCCCTAGCTGAGCGCCACCATGTACTTGTTGTTTGAACTCATATATCTTGGCTCTCATAAAAGATATCAAAGTTTTGCCAACTGATAAAATTTTTGCCATAATAAGAGCAATATTTTATTAGTGAACAACTTTTTGATATCTTTTACAGTAACCGAGATAAACTGGGTCGATGGAATCCCTCTCAATAATCCCTAGAAGAACACCACTGTCCTTTGAGCTCAATTATCTCGGCTCCCATAACAGATGTCAAAAATTTGTCAATTGATAAAATATTGCTTTTATCATGACAAACATTTTATCTGTTGACAAAATTCTGATATCTTTCATAGGAACCTAGATAATTGGCGCCAATTGTAATTGAATTTTTTTCTGAATTTTTTTATCCCGAAAATTCAAATTTCCCTAAAAGTCCTAAAAATCCCATAATTTCCTTTAAATTTAGTATCAAAATGTTCCAAATTTCCCAAAGAATTTGAAAATTTGATTCAACTTACGATCCTGAATCAGTGGCTGCCAGTATCCAATCGGTTGCTGATATCCGTAGCCTCCACCGTATCCACGGGATGGTCGACCGTAGCGCCCGGCGGCCGCTTCGGTTTTCACTTCATCGGCTGGCTGCAAAAATCGATAATTCAATCGATAATTAACTTTGGACTTAAAACCTTGAAAACTAAAAAAATTTAGATTTTGAGCCAAAAAAAATTTTCTTAAAAAAACATTTTTTTTGGAATAATTTTTTCAAATATTCTAAAAATTCAAAAATCCTTAAAAATCACTTTCTAGGGTGAAATTTTCTGAAATTTCCAATTTTTTTGCATAAATTTAGTTAATTTCCGTCTAAAAGACATAAAAAGGGGGGACATACCTTGGCACCAAGCACAGCGGCCAACGAGGCGACGGTCAAAATAATGGCGGTTTTCATTTTTCTTTTAAAAATGAAAAAAAGTGATCGAATGATGATTTTTGTTGAGTTTGAAGAGCAGTTTTATAGGAGTCGAGCGGGAGGGGAAAAAAGGGGCGGGGCTTGAATTTTTTTTGATTTGCGGGATCGGAGGATCTGGTGATGGATGTTGGAAAATTGGATGGAGGAGAGGAAGGGAGAAATTCTAAGAATCTAAGGAAAATTTTGAAAGCTGAGCAATCTGAGGAATCTGGAATTTTTTTTTCGAAATTTTGAAAAAAAAAACCTGGGTGAATTAAGGAAGAAAGAAGAATTTCGAAATTGGAAAAGGCCTAAAACCACTTTAAATTAGCTCAGAAAAGAAGCAAAAAGAATTCGAAGCCAAAAAGAATCGAACCCGCGACCTCTAGATTCAAAGTCAAAAGTGTTCACCACTAGGCCACGCGAGCACTTTAGAGAAATAGCGCGAAAGGCGTAGAAGAAGGAGAGGGCGGCGGGCGCCGCCACCAGGCGGCAATGTCCATCCTTCCGCGCCGCTCACATCAGGTGCTCGCGTGGCCTAGCGGGGAACACTTTTGACTTTGAATCTAGAGGTCGCGGGTTCGAATTTTTCTGGGTCAAAATCCTTCTTGCTGTTTTTTACAAGCATTCTAATAAATTTTTAAATATCTCTGATATTTCTGAATTCCTCATCATTCTGAAAATTCTGAAAATTTCAGAAAAAATCAAAAATCTCGGAACTTTTTTCAGATTCTCGGAATTAATTTGATATTACTGTACTTTGACCCCAAAAAACAAAAATCATATATTTTTTCTTTCAGATTTTTTCATTTTCCCATGACCCAATTTTCCAATTTCCCAATATCACAAAATTCCATTTATCCTTATCAACCCCCGCCTCCACGAAGAATTCCTTATCACCCCAACCCACGGATTTTCAGATATTTCTAGAAATTTCTTATCAATTTGTCATCTTTCATGTGGGGGCGAGACGGATCTCAGGAAAATGATTTTTTTTTCATTTTTTTTCAGATGCTCCAATCCAACAAGAATGTATGTTTCTGTTTCAATTTGATTGAGAGATCGGGAAACTTTTTTTTCAGAAAAAAGATGAGCAATGAGGGAAGAAATGAGGTCAGGTCATCATGGATAGAAGTGTAATGAAGCAAAAAGAATAACGGATTTTTTTCTTCTAGAAAAAAATATCCAGATGCTCTTTTGGGATCAAAGTACAACCGAAAAATCTGAAAATTACAGATTTTGAAAAACAAATTTTTTTTTGAAAATTTTTGAAAATAGCCCATTTTCAGACGTCTACAAAACTGGCTCAAACTTTTTGTATTTGTCTGAAAATTACAGATTATATTAAACAAGGCTAGAGCTTCATTTTTGTAGTTGACAACTTTTTTGAAAAATTCAAACCCAAGGAGATATGGGTTTTTCAAAAATGTTAACTTTTTAGTTTCAATTTCTTCTATTTTCTACAATTTTTGAATTTTTTGAACCCAAATTTTTAAAAAAGAATCTTAAAATGCTTATTTTTTTTATTTTCTATGTAAAAGTTCAATTTTTCCATGAAATCTGAAAATTTTGAAAATTCAGTTTTTTTCAAATTTTTTAAAATTTTCCAAACTTTCCAAATTCCTGAAAAAGTTTAAAATTCCTTGAAATTCCTGGACATTCTCTTCCCATTTTCTCCCGATCACCAGATCCATCATGCTAGGCTCCGCCCCCTCCGATCCCAATCAAATCTCTGCGTCTCTAACTATCTTAAAATCAAGTATAAAAGAGATATCCGAGATTCTTCTAAATCCATCAATCCGATCAAAACATGTTCTCTCCCACCTGGATCGTTTCGTCTTTGGCTCTTTGTGCCGCCGTCACCATGGCCGCGGAAACCTCGACCGCCGCTGGCGTCGAGGCCAAGGTAAGGGTACTAGATAATGAATAATTGCTTTAGACTAGGTTAGAATGGCTGGAAAAAGAAGCAAAAAGGATTTGGAGCCGAAAGGAATCGAACCCGCGACCTCTAGATTCAAAGTCAAAAGGGTAAGCCAGTAGGCTACCGGCGCATACGGCGATAAATGGCGCGAGAGGCGTAGAAAAGGGAGCAAGAGAGGGCGCTCACGCCGCGGGCGGCTGTGCCGCCACCACCGCTCCCTTCTCTATACCTTCGGCGCCAAACATATTCATGTGATCGCGTAGCCTATTGGTTCACACTTTTGACTTTGATTCTAGAGGTCGCGGGTTCGAATCTTTCTGGGTCAAAGTTCATTTTGGTTCTTTTTACAACCATCCTAGTCTTGTTTTAAGACCTATTTTACCTATTTTTAGTAACTTTTACTAAAAATTTCCAGCCAGCCGACGTGAAAGACGCACCAGCTGGTGCCCACTATGGCGGTGGATACGGTAACCCATCCTACAGCCAGCCACAGTATCCAGTCTACCAATTCCCAAACTTTGATGTCAACTATTGCTCAGTCCACGCCTCCTTCCCACTTGTCGGACTTAGAAGTTAGTTTTAGCGGGAATTTGAATTTTTTTGAAAATTTGGACAAAATTGGATTACTGTAATTTTTCCTTTCAGAGAACCGCCACCACGGAAGAGGAGACCGCTACAAGAGACAAACCTATGGTGGACCAGCTCAGGATTCTGGAGCCAACTATGGAGGGCAAACCTTCGGTAAGAAAGTTGGTCTGGCGGGAAATTCAAAATTTTGAAAATTTGAAAAACCCGAAAATCTCAAAATCGCTCATCTCTAGCTCATTTTTCTTCTATTTCCCGGCCAGCTTAGAAAAAAAATTATTTTCGAAAAATTCAAATTTCCAGACGCCCCAGCCACCTCCTACAACGCCCCATCCTATGGTCCATCGTACGTTCAGAGACCGCGCCCATTCGAGCGTCAGGGATGCAGAAACACCGCCATTTTCAATCAGGACTCGTGCCAGAACTGCTGCACCATCTCGTCTCGTGCCTCTGGAAACACTGCTGTAGGTTTTTTGGGGGAAATTGGTTTTTAGAGTTTCAGATAGCTAGAAACTAGTTTAAATTAGCTCAGAAAAGAAGAGAAAAAGGTTTGAAGCCAAAAAGATTTGAACCCCCGACCTCTAGATCCAAAGTCAAGAGCGTTCACCTCTAGGCCACGTGGGCACATTGTGGGAAAGCGCCGCAAAAGGCATAGAGGAAGGAGCGGGCGGCGAGGCTGCCACCACTGCTCCCTTCTCTATACCTTCCGCACCTGTTGCCTTAGGTGCCCTCATGGCCTAGTGGTTTACACTTTTGACTTTGAATCTAGAGGTAGCGGGTTCGATTTCTTTTGCCTCTAATCCTTTTTGCAACTTTTTGCCAACATTTAAAGCTATTTTCAAAGCATATCAAGTAGTTTAAAAGCACTTTAACACGGAACTAAGCCTCAAAACCCTCTAAATTGCCTCAAATTTGACCTTTTTCAATTCCAGCCAGTCGTCGGAATCCTGATGATGTTTGATCCAAAGCTCTCGGCTGATAAGAAGCATCACAAGAAGGACGACGACATCAACTCGCCAGACCGTGCCATCCAATGCGTCTGCTGCACTTCCAGAAGAGTCTAAATCGTTTTTTTCTAACATTTTTTTGAAAAAAAAACACATTTTATGCAAAAACCATTAAAAATCCCCCCAAAAAATCTGTAATCCCAGTTTTAATTTCCCATTAATAAAGTCCACATTTTCTGGAAAAAACGTTTTCTTGGATTTTCAGATTTTCCAGCAGAAGTCAGATATTCGAAAAGTAAATATTCAAATTTGAGAGATTATGAGCTTTAAAATGACCCCGAACACGACTAGGCTCCGCCCACTTTGAGAATTCAGATAGAGACGCGACGCACGACCGCGACGCTCCTGAAAAATGAAAGTGGTCGGAGCCTAGTCGTGTTTGGGCTCATTTTGAAGCTCCCGCACTGATGGATGCATATAATTTAATCAAAAACTAAAAAAAAAAACCAAAAAAGAAATAGAGAATTTGAGATTTTTCTAAAATTTGCAAAAAAAATTTTTTTTCAAAAAATCAAACCGCACCAAAGTCCATATCGTGAAAAAGATCAATAATCTATTTTCGAGACAACATAGAATACATTTCCCGCCTGTAATCCTCTTAATCGTAACTTTTAAAAGTTCTTTTTCGCTGAAATTTGAATTTCAAATTTTTTGAGAAAAAACTTTTTTTTCAAAATTTTTTCCTCCCCACTTGATCCTCCTTTGATCCTTTAAAACTAGAATATTGTACTTTTTCATCTTTCTCTGCGTCTCCTAATCTCTAACATCATCATATGGTCTACATATAAGTAGGGTTAAAGGACTGTTCTTTAGGCTCCGCCCATTTTTTGGTTTTTATGGGTTTAGAGTCGATTTTGATTGATTTTGACTTGAAAATTGTGATTTTCAAGGTATTTTTGGTCTAGGAACACTTTGAAATACCTAAAAATGAGATTTTTTTAAATTCCAAAAAATTTTCAAAAAAAATTTATTTCAGAAAATTTTTTTTTTTCGAAAACTGAATTTTTTCCAAATTTCCAGACTATTTTTAGTATGGAATTTCTATTTTCAGCATTTTCAGCCAAAAAATTTCATTGAAAAATGGGGGAAATTCACGTCAGAAGCTGATGGTTTGATTGGATTAAAAATTCTTTTATCAGTGATAAAAATACACTTTTCGGGTCGGAAATGGGTGGGACACACCCAAAAATTTTTTTGTCTGAAATTTTTGATCTGAAAAAAAAAGAAAAGAAAAAATTCTAGGAAAAAAAAATTGAAAATTCGAAAAAAAAATTTTTTTTTTGAAAATTTTGGAATGTTTCAAAAATCTCATTTTTAGGTATTTCAAAATGTTTCTAAACGAAAATAACCCTGAAAATCTCAATTTTCAAATCAAAATAACCCTAGATCGACTCTAAAACCCCAAAAAAAAAACCAAAAATGGCGGAGCCCAAAGAACACTCCTTTAACCCTACCGATATGGCCATGATGTTAGAGATTTTGATTTTTTTTTGGAATTTTCGACTTTTTTTTTTGAAAAATTATTTTTTCAGATGTCAAGTAATCCTGCTCCGTGCCTCGGTTGGCTCTTCTGCAATCTTGTAGAAGAGAATATTGTCAAAAAACAGGTTTGGGATTTTTTTTTAATTTTGAATTTTTTAAAAATTTCATATTTTAATTTTTTTTAAATTCACATTTCCAGTTTTAAATTTTTTAAATCATTTTCTAGTTTTCAAAAAATTCAATCGAAAAACAAAAACAATCGAATTTCTAGTTACCGGAAACACTCTAATGGAACGCCACCGGACCACTGTCTACTTTGAGCCTATATATCTCACTTCTTTGGAAAGATATCAAAAAGTTGTCAACTGATAAAATGTTTATCATGATATCAGCTACATTTTATCAGTTGACCACTTTTTGATATCTCTTACAGAAAATGAGATACATGGGCTCAAATTTGACGATGTATTTCGAAAAAATCAATGTGTGTTCCACATTTCCAGATGTCCCCACTATAAAAAAAACCCCACCCAAAAAAATTTTTTCTAGAAAATTCTATAATTATGTTTTCCGGAAACTTCCATGAAACTTCAATAAGTTCTTAAATTTCAGACTTTTTTTCCTGGAAACCTCCGAAATTATTTTCCGCCTCATCATATGGAAAATGCGTCATTATTATTGATGCTTCAAAAAAAATTAATCGGCTCAAAAAAAAAAGAAAATGTCAAAGTTTAATTTGAGTAGAGTATATTCAAAAAAAAAATAGTTTTTTGGCTGAAAATTCTGGAAAAATTCCTGTGAAATAGCGTAAACACTCTAATACAACGCCACCCAAAACATAAACTTTGAACCCATGTATCTCATTTTCTGTAAGAGATATCAAAAAGTGATTAACAGATAAAATGTTGCTGATATCATGATAAACATTTTATCAGTTGACCACATTTTGATATCTTTCAGAAGAAGTGAGATATATAAGCTCAAAGTTAAGAGTATGGGGGCCATCCAACAGAATGACCCTCGTGAAGCCGTCAACTTTGAGCCCGTGTATCTCATTTTCTGTAAGAGATATCAAAAAGTAATTAACTGATAAAAGGTTGCTGATATTACGATAAACATTTTATCAGTTGACCACTTTTTGATATCTCTCAAAAAAAGTGAGATATATAGGCTCAAAGTGGACGGTCCCGATGGAGTGCTGTTAAAGTGTTTACGGTATTTTCTTCTTAAATTTAATCTTAATTTTTGTTCAAATAAGGGACATCTAGACATTTGGAATTTAGGCTTCAACCATTTTTCTAGTGTTTTAAGGAAATTTTGGGATTTTTCGAAAATTTCAAATTTCAAAAAAAAATTTTTTTAAGTTTTGAAACCAAAAATCCTATAATCCATTCAGTTTTTTTTCTGACCATAACCCATAAATATTGCCCTTTTAATCCTTTTTTTATTTGCAAATTTTATAAAAAATTTTTTGTTTCTCCGAAATTTTTTTCAAAATGATAAAACATCAATTTTCAATTCTTTATCAACTCTAGTGATAAAAAAGAGTCCAGAGTGTCTAGTCAAAACCCAAAATTAAATTTTTTGACCTAAAAATTATTTTCTCTGGAAATTTTGGAAAAAAAGTTTTTCTAGTAGTTTTTTTTTTTTTGCAAAATCTGATCATTTAAGAAAATCTTGTGGATTTCGATTTTCATCAAAAAATAAGACCAAGAAAATCCAAAAATAATTTTTTGGGAGATTTGTTTTGGTGTTAATCAAAAATATTGGATCTGGATTTTCAGATTAATATTTGATAAGGAGATAAGCTCCACCCACATTTAGCATTTTCTGGCATTTTCTGATGAGAAAATGATTAAAAAAATCTGCAATTTTTTGGATTTATTTTTTGAAAAATTCGAATTTTCGAAATATCAATAATTTCCATCTTATTTTGACTATGTTTCAGTCATTTTAGGTCTCTTTTTGACATGATTCTAGCTGATTTTTCCGAAATTTTAACTTTTTGGGTCATTCTTAGCCTATTTTTGACAATTTTTTGGTTCAATTTCCACAATTTTGGAGCCAGTGTCTAATTGCTCATTCCTATTTCACTTTCTTTCATTTCCCCCTAATTTAAAGGCGCATAAGTGGGACAGGTGGTCCCGTTTTGAAGATGTGAAAAGGTGAAAGTGACATCTGTTATATTTTATTGACATCCGAGACCATAGGACCATTTACGATCGATCCCTTTTAGGCCATTTTTGGTTAATTATAGACAAGAAATCATATTTTTGAAACATTTATGAACTTTTTTTGGACCATTTACAGGTTTTTCTGGTTACAAAACTTCACATTTTGAATTTCTAGGCGACTCAGATTTAAAAACTGTCGTAATATTCGAACTTCTTACGAAAATAGATAGATTTGAGTATAATTTTGAGCTTCCTTTCCTCAGAAATCCCTGAAAAATGAAATCTTCCAATTTTTGACATGGTGGCCGAGAAACCCTAACTTTCGAATTTCTCGGCCGCCAAAACTGGAAATAAGCTTTATGTTTGTATTTTTCATAAAATTTCTGTTTATTTGAATTTCATAATGTGATGATTTTAGGCTTGTGATCATTTTAAGTTTTGTGGAAAACCAAAAATTTTGAAATTTTTTTTTTGAAAAATCTGAAATTCGTCTAACTTATAGAAACATCAAAATTTGTCTAAGTCGGTTGTTTTTGATTTCAAAATGACTGAAATAACAAAGTAAATTTGAATTTATCATTTCAGACAACTGAGACGGTCTAGAAACCCAACTTCATAGCGTAAACATTCTAATAGAACGCCACCCCGATTCGTCTACTTTGAGTCCAGGTATCTCGATTCCTGTAAGAGATACCAAAAAGTGGTAAACTGATAAAATGTAGCTGATATTATGATAAACATTTCATCAATTGACAATTTTTTGATATCTTTCAAAAGAAGTGAGATATATAGGCTCAAAGGGGACGGTCCGGGTGGCGTGCTATTAAAGTGTTTACGGTGAACATTTATGACTTTCTTTCGGACCATTTAGGGGTTATTTCCAGCTAGTTTTAGCCAAAGAAATCGATTTTTCTGCATTTTTTGGTCCATTTTAGCCCTTGATATGGTTTCCTATCATTTTTTGATCCAGTTTCAGATTTTTTTCAAATTTCCAAATTTTTAAATTTTTTTTTTGAATATACTCTTTTTCTCTAAATTTCGTTCAAAAATCAAGTGAACAAACTTGATTATTTTTGCTGCTGATGCAATTTGTATTTTGATGACAAAAAACTACGAATTTTCGATTTTTCGAACTTTAAGGAAAAAGAAAGGATGACAAATGAAAAATTTTCGGTTTTTCAACTTACCGTAAAAACACTCTAAGGCCACCCAAACTGTCAAATTTCAGCCTATATATCTCATTTTGTGTAAAAGATATCAACAAACTGTAAACTGATAAAATGTAGCTGATATTGTGGTAAACATTTTGTCAGTTGACCACTTTTTGGTATCTTTCCAAAGAAGTAAGATATAAAGCTTAAAGTTGGAAAGTCGACGCTTGCAGGATGAGCTAGACTGTCGGCTGCCGGTCTCTTAACTTTGACCCGGTTTATCTCGATTACTGTAAGTGATATCGAAAATTGATAAAATGTAGCTGATATCATGATAAACATTTTGTCAGTTGACTAATTTTTGATATCTTCCACAGAAACCGAGATAAATTGGCTCAAAGTTGACAGTGTGGTTGCTGTTCTAATAGCTCTGAAGCGTAACTTTTAGTTTAACTTTTAGCACATTTATCTCATTTTCTGTAAGAGATATCAAAAACGTGTCAATTGATAAAATGTAGCTGATATTATGATAAACATTTTATTAGTTGACCACTTTTTGATATCTTCCACAAAAACCGAGGTATTTTAGCTCAAATTGGGGGGCCCGTTTTGGGTCATTTTTGACCAATTTTCCTGACCAATTTTGGCCTAAAAATAGAGTTTTTCTGTCTCATCCCTGTCCAAAAAACATAAAAAATTTCACACTTTTTTTCCCAAAATGACCCCAAATTTCAAAAAGTCAGAATAAGTCAAAAAATACGAATAAGAAGAAGAACACTTAACTTGTATGTACATACAAGTCAAATATTTGCACTCTTGACCTAGAAAAATTGGGGGGAAGAATTTCCTTCTTATAAAAAATTCATAACTTCTTCTTCTTGTTCTCTTCCTTTTTCCGGTCATCTTTCCTCTCTTCAGAATTCCTTAAAAATAGTGCTAAAATCAAGAGACGCAGAGAAAATGACCTTCATAAAGAGAAAAAAAAACGGTCAAAGAGATAGAGAGATTTTTTTTGAAAACTGGTTTTTCTTGAAAAAAGAGATTTTTTTGATGACTCTCTCTTGAAGAGTAATTTGATTAGATGTCGTTGGTCAGTTTTTTTTGTAGGTTTTGACGTGATTATTCTGAAATTTTCTCTGTTTTCGAGAAGTTTCTCAATATTTAGCACCATTTTCAGCTTCCTGACACAATTTTCACCCTCAAAAACCGCTCTAAACCCAATTTTTGACCCTAAAATCAGTTTTCCAGCAAATTTTCGCAAAATTGCTCATATGGCCTAGTGGGATTTTCGACGAAAGAATTTGGATCTAGGGGTCTCGGGTTCGAATCCCACCGGTGGCAACTTTTTTTTTGGAGTGTTTTCGGGGGTTTTCAAGGGCGGGAAATGCGAATATCGAGGTTAAAAAGTCTGAAAATCTAGTCAAAATGGTGAAAATGGGGGATTTTGAGTTGAAATCTTTGATTATCGCTAAATTAGAGCTTTTTGGGTCTATTTTTTTGGTTTTCTAAATTAAATTTTTATCCTTTTTTCTGTGGCCTAGAATTCCCTCAATTTAGTAGTTTCTAGGCCATCTAACATAACCAAAAATCAAAAACCTCTTTTAAAAAAGTGAACGATCACTTTTTTTTGCAAATTTGGAAAATTTTGGGCGTTTTTGGAATCAATTTCTCTTTTTTTTGGAAAACCAATTTCTAATTTTCTGAGATCAGATGATTTTTTAGTTTACCGGAAATTGATTTTTTGAAAAAATTGAAATTTAAAAAAAAATCATATGATGCTCATTTTTGAACTCTTTATTTTTATGTACTTCCTATTATTATTTTTAAATTAAAAACATAAAAAATTTTTCAACTGATAAGAAAGTGAACATTTTGAAAACAGGATGAAATTTTGAATTGGACGAGTCTATTTACCGTAAACACTCTAATAGAACGCTACACGGACCGTTCACTTTGAGCCTATATATCTCACTTCTTTTGAAAGATATCAACAAGTTGTCAACTGATAAAATGTTTATCATGATATCAACAACATTTTATCAGTTTACACATTTTTGATATCTCTTACAGGAAATGAGATATATGGGCTCAAAGTGGACGGTCCGGGTGGCGTTCTATTAGAGTGTTTACGGCGAATTGTTTTAATGTACCCTCCAAAGTTTTAGAATCTACATTAATCCCAAGAGCTACAGTAATCCGCTACAAAAAATCAAACATCTGTTTTTCCAGTAGTTTGACCTCAAAAATACCAAAATTCAACTACGTAACAAATTTTATGCAAATCCCAAAATTTCGGACTCCAAACAACACGGAATTTCAGTTTCCGTAGTTTTTCTGGCCATTTTTTGATCGTCATCTCACATGCGCCTTTAAATTTTGAAAAAAGTCTAAAATTCTATAAAAATTTTGAAAATTTTTTTTTTCAAAAATTTCAAAAAATCGAATTTTTGATTTTTTTTTGAAAAGTTTGGGATTTTTGATATTTGTGAAAAAAACATTTGTTTGTACTTTCCCCTCTTTGAAATTTCAACGAAACAAAACATAGCCCACGCCCCCCTCTATTCCTAGGCTCCGCCCACTTTTTGGTTGTCTGACCTCCAAATGATTATTTTACGCACTGATAAGCAGCAGCAAATAATTTGTTTGAAAAAAAGATGCAAGTTTTTTTTCGCTGATAAAAGTTCCAATTTTTTGTTATTTTATTTTTTGATGAATTCTGGAAATTTCCAGATTTTCAGATTAGAAAAAAAATCTGAAATTTGAAATTTCAGGATTTCAAATATTCTCGGGTCATCTAAAAATCTGAAAATCCAAATTTGTCTTTGGAATTTCAAAGTTTTTCCGAAATTTCCTTTCAGATTCTAGAATTTCAGCGTTGTAGAAAATTTAAAATTTCGAGAAAATTAATGATTTTCTAAATTTTCTAATTTCTAGAATTTCAGATTTTTTTTTAGATTTTTCAGTTTTTTGAAAATTCAGATTCCCCAAAATTTTTGATGTTCCTTTTTTTTTAAATACTGATTTTTCCAAAATTTCAGATTTTTCCAAAATTTCAGATTTTTCAAAATTTTAGATTTTTCAAATTTTTGAAAATTCAGATTTACCAAATTTGAAATTTTTCCAAATTTCTGCTCTTCCAAAATTTACTGATTTTCCAAAATTTCAGATTTTCCAAAATTTCAGATTTTTCCAAAATTTCAGATTTTCCAAAATTTCAGATTTTCCAAAATTTCAGATTTTCCAAAATTTTAGATTTTTCAAATTTTTGAAAATTCAGATTTACCAAATTTCTGCTTTTCCAAAATTTTCTGATTTTCCAAAATTTCAGATTTTCCAAAATTTCAGATTTTCCAAAATTTCAGATTTTCCAAAATTTCAAAAGTTCGGACGGATATTTACAAATTTCGTATTTTTTCCAAAATTTGAGATTTTTCCAAATTTCGAAAAATTCCAAAACATCCAATCCAAACTCTTACAGTACCCTCAATGAAATTTTTCTTCAAAATATTGGAAAATCTGTTATTTAAAAAATTTTTCAAACCTACAGTACCCCTTACTCTTAAAACACCTCCATGACCAACCATATAGACCCCATATAATTACTATTTTGTCTCATTTCTCATTTTCTTTTTTTCCGTTTTTCTCTAACCACTCTCTCCATTTCCCACACTCTCTCGTCTATCTCAAAATGATAAGAAACTTGTTTTTGACCCCTATGTACCACATACAAATTCCCGCCTTTTCTCAATTGTTTTTCTTTTTTTTTCGAAAAAAAAAGAAAACGACGAACCATTGTTCTGTCTATTTCATATTACTACTGAAACTATATAATTACTATTGTCTGAAAATTTGAAAAAAAAACCTGAAACCTGGCTGAAAATTATGGTCACTTTTGTGGTATGGTTTTGAAGTTCCGAATTTCTAGTTTAAAAACGGTTCTAGAGCTATTTTGACCTGAAAAATTGATTTTTGAGCTTTATTTTGGTCTAGAATTACTTTAAAACCAGAAACCTCGAGTTTTCCAAATTCCACAAAATTTGGTTGAATTTTTAGATTTTTTTAAAATTCGAAATTTCTAGTTCTAAGAATGGTTCTAGTGTAATTTTGAGTTGAAAAATTGATTTTTGAGCTCAATTTTAGTCTAGAACCACTCTGAAACGAGAAACCTCGGGTTTTTCAAATTTCAAAAAATTTCAAAAAACAATTATTTTTTGGAATTTTTCGATTTTTTTCTAAATTCCGAATTTCTAGTTTTAAACATGGTTCTAGAGTTATTTTGAGCTGAAAAACTGATTTTCAAGCTTTATTCTAATCTAGAATCACTCTGAAATGAGAAAAATCAAGTTTTTCCAATTCCTAAAAATTTCAAAAAATTTATATTTTTTTGAATTTTTCGATTTTTCTGAAATTCGAAATTTCTAGTTTTAAAAACGGTTCTAGAGTTATTTTGAGTTGAAAAATTGATTTTTGAGCTTATTTTTAGACAAGAATCAGTCTGAAACGAGAAATTCGAGCTTTTCAATTTCCTAAAAATTTAGTTTTAAAAAATGAATTTTTCGATTTTTTTTTGAAATTCGAAGTTTCTAGTTTTAAACATGGTTCTAGAGTTATTTTGAGTTGAAAAATTGATTTTTTAGCTCTATTTCACTCTAGATTTACCGTAAAATGGTTGAATTGTAATTTTCTGAAATTTCAGGAAATTTCAAAAAAAAATTTTTGAATTTCTTAATTTTCGTTTTTCAAAGCAATATCAGTTCTAACCAATCAATTATCTTTAAAATCACTGTTTTCTCATAAAAACCATAAAACTTTGATTTCAAATTTTCGAAATGTTTTCTTCTTCGAAATTTCCAAAAAATCTGAAAATTCTGAAATTTTAAAATTATCTGAAATAATGTATCTTTAGTCCGCCTTCCACATGGACAGCCTAATTGTACCAACCACGCCGGAGCCGCATCTTTTAAGTCATGGTGAGCTTTTTTTTTTTGAAAATCTGATATTTTAAAATCTGGAAAATGTTTTGGCTGAAATTATTTTTAGATTGCTGAAAATGAACAAGTGGCCTAGATGTACTGATTTCTAGGCCATCAGGTAAATAAAATCCAAAAATTCAAAAAAAAATTTTTTTCAAAAATTTTAAATTTTCAGGAAATACAACCACAGAGTTATGGGAAGTGATACTAGTCGCCTCGTGTCCCATCATTTTTATCATTTTCCTCTGTCTGTGTGTCGTTTGTCTGGTTGTCCGCAGTTATGAGAGACGTAAGTTATTTGAATGTTACCGTAAACCCTCTCTAATAGAACACCATCAAGCCATTAAATTTGAACTCATATATCTCACTTCTTTCAAAAGATATCAAAAAGTGGTTAACTAGTAAAATGTTTATCATGATATCAGCAACATTTTAATAATGAAACACTTTTTGATAACTTTTATAGGAGCCGAGATATATAAGCTCAAAGTTGACGATTGTTTTATCACTGGCTAGACTGACTTTGATACTGACTAACTTTGAACTCATATATCTCCATTCTTGTGAGAGATATCAAAAAGTAGTCAACTGATAAAATATTGCTGATATCATGATAAACATTTTATTAGTAAACTACTTTTTGATATCTCTTGCAGAAAATGAGGTACACAAGCTCAAAGTTCAAAAAAATTCTTTAAAAAATTCTAAATTTTTTTTTTTCAATTTCCGATTTTTTTTTTCTGTGATTTTGTGACTTTTTCGATATCATATGACATAAATCTTCTAGAATCTTTTCTGTGTTTTCTCTTCTTCTTATCAGAATTTGCCCAATTAGACGCCGGTTTTCCGGTCCAAAAGTCGAAAAAAAAACAATTTTCTCTGCTTTTTCCCTTTTTCTCTATTTCTCTAATTTTTAAAAAATTATCTTTCTTTATCAATGAAATCAAAGAAAATTGGGTTCAAAGTTTGAAAAATGATTTTTTTAAAGATCTGAAATCTTCAGCCAGCCTACCTACTGTAGAGCACCTTCGTGCGTCTGCGTCTTGTTCCACATCTCAAATTGCATCGATTTTGCGTCAGCTACCGCCTCCGCCAAAATATGATATTGGTAAGGATTACTGTAGTTAAATTTTAAAATTTTTAAAAATAAAAAAAAATTTAAAAATTTCAGAAATTCAAGAAATTCGAAATCGGTCAAAATCACTGAAATTTGGGTTCAAAATGTCTGAAATTCATGAGAAATTCTAATTTCACAGATTTTTGGGCATGAAATTCTTTAAAATTCGCTAAAACTAGAACAAATGGTCAAAAACGGACAAAAGAGGCGGTACATAATTTATGGTCCATCAACACTCTAATAGAACGCCACCCGAATCGTCGGTCAAAGTGGTCCGTATGGCGTTCTATTGGTGTGTTTACGCTATGAACCCCGAAATTTGGGTTTCTAGGCCATCCAGACCTAATTTTCAATGCTAAATTCAAATTTTCTGTTTAATTTCCAGCATTTTGAACCTAAACATGACCAACATTGGGAAATTTCAAATTTTGGAGCATTTTGAAAATTCAGTTTTTTCAAAATTTTTGGTTTTCCACAAAACTCAAAATTATCACAAACACATTCAAACTATGTTCAAATTAACCAAAATTTTATGTGAATTTTGAATCTGAAATTGAATTTCCAGTTTGACTGCCTAGAAATCCAAAAATTTGGGGTTTTCTAGGCCACCAATCTCCAAATTTGGGCTATCATTTCCTCTTGTTCCAGAATTGTGTGGTTGCATTCATCAGATTCTGTATTTTGTTCATTATTTCATGTCTTATCAATCACTTATCACCAAAAAAATATCACCTCATTTGTAAAACAATTTCTGATGCAATTCTTCAAAAAAATCATTAGTGCCACTGGAAGACAACTTTTACGATTTCAGGGAAACCCCCATTGAATTACTGATAAGAGACGCGGGGGTGTCTAAGAATGATGCACTTGAAATGTAAATTACACTGAAAGTTTTAGTGATAACAGAGTTGCGGAAAACATAATTTTTCAAGGAAATACAACTTTTTTCTACATAGCCTGTAACATAGGAAATAAGTTTCCAAAAATAAAATCGGGTGCAGAAGTCGAGTGATTGCATGATAAAAAAATCTGAAAAATCTGAAATTCTGATAAAATTCTGGAAATTTGGCGAAAAAGCAATTCGGAAGCCAAAAAAGAGTGTCAAAATTATCCAAAATTGACTAAACCCCAAATGTTGAGATTGGTGGCCCTCTCTAATAGAACGCCACCCGGATTGTTCACTTCGAGCCTGTATATCTCACTTATTTTGAAAGATATCAAAACGTTGTCAACTGATAAAATGATTATCATGATATTATAAACATTTTATTAGTTAATCACTTTTTGATATCCCTTACAGAAAATGAGATACATAGGCTCAAATTTGACGATGATTCGGGTGACGTTCAATTAGAGTGTTTACGACATTTTAATTTCTAGGTCACTATATTTAAAAATGAATGATATTTTCGGATTTTTCACAAAGTTTGCGTTGTTTTACACATTGGATTAGCTAATTTCCGACAATTTTAACTTTGTTTGAAAATTTTCGAAAAATTGATTTTTTTGGATTTTCGAATTTTTTGAAATTTTGAAAAACTTTGAAATTCTTTGAAACTGATCGTGTTTAGGCTCAAAATGATGATGATAAAACGCCAAAAAATCACATTTTAATACTTCAAATAGTTTGGGTGGTCTGAAAACCCAAAATGTGGATATCTAGGCCACCAACCGCCTTTTTTAGTCTTTTTTAAGTTCTGAAATCCTTTGGACCTCTAAAATTGGTCAGATTTTGTCATTTTTATACTCAAAATTATTGTAAAATTTACGACAAATTAAAATTAGCTAATTTCAAACAGTTCGGATAGCTTAAAAATCCAAAATTTGGGTTTCTAGGCCGCCACACTCATTTTTGGTTCATTTTGGGTCCCAGGACCCCTATTACCCTGAAAAATGGTCAGAATTTGGTCATTTTGAGTTTAAAGTGATTGAAAAAACATACAAAATTCGAATTCAATCGTCTCAAAATAGTTTAGGTGACCTCAAAATACATAATTTGGATTTCTAGGCCACCTCTCTCAGTTTTGGCCTTTTTTAACTTCTAGGACCATTTCGAACCCTCAAAATAATCAAATTTTGTCGTTTTTAGGCTTAAAATTGCCAGAAAAACAATTTCAAAATCATTAAAGGCCACCAATTTCGTTTTTAGCCGTTATTAACTATTATTTAACTTCTAAGATCCTTTGAACCCTTAAAAATGATGATAATGTGGTGGATTTCAGGTCTAAAATGACCAGAATTTTATGATAAATTTGAAATAAAATCACAACTCAATGAAAATCTATGTCTACGGACTTATTTTGCAGCCGTAACATCTGTCGACGCACCTCCACCGCTCTACACCGACATTGGCAAAGACCTGGGACCATTCGGATTCCGAACGACGCCTTCTGGCGCCCGACCCGTCGGAATTCATAGAAGCTTCCAGAATCAACATCATCTGACGACGCCTACAGTACAACCATTGAATATACAGTATTTGTATCCGCCAAAATATGAGGTGAGCAATTTTTCAAAAATTATTTCAATTGTCATTCTAAAAAAAAAGTTTTTTGGTCCCTAAAAACTTCTTTTTTTTTGAAAAAAATGTCAAAAGTTCTTAAAGAATATAAGAAAATACTAAATTATTCATTCTCATATACTTCTTCCTCCTACGCTAGCTCAAAAGTTCAAATTTTTGAATTCTCAAAAAAAATGTTTTTTTCAAAAATTAATTTTCCCTCTAATTATCTTAATTAGGCTCTTAACTTTCAATTTTTTGGATTTTTTTTTCAATTTTTTTCCATAAAAGTACATCTGTCTCCAGATGTTTCTTGTTTCGGAGAAGTTCCTAGAATTTATAAAAATTGCAAACTCTAGCATTTATAATTATAGAAATTGAGGAAGAAGAAGCTCACACGATGTGTGAGCTCTTATTATAGACAGGAGCCTGACTTTTAAAAATGTCAGAATTTTTAAATTATAGTTCCTGGAAAATTTTTTGAAATTAAAAAAAAATTAAAATTTTTTTTTTTAAATTTCAATAATACATTTTCAGAGTAAAACTAAGGTCTAAAATTATTAGAAAACAGTTTTAGAACGTTTAGAAAATCTGAAAATCCAAAAAAAAAAATTTTTTTTCGAAAATTATTTTTTTTCAAAATTTTCAGCCAAAAAATGTTTTTTTTCCAGGCCACAATTTCCTCACCTGAAACCAAAATCTTGCCACCATCATCTGAAACTACAGTAACCCGAAACACTTCTCGCGTTGAACACGTCGTTGTGGAAATCGGAGGCGCCACCACGTCATCTGAAAGCTGAAAATCTGAAAATCTGAAATTTGTTGCCTCTCATACTCATATCATTTTCCCCCGGGTCCATTTAAACCAATTTTTATCATTAAAATTTTTGAAAAAAAAAACAAAACAGGTATTTTTTAATTTTTTGTAATTTTTCAATTTTTTAAAGACAATCTAGCTAAATTAGCTGAAATTTTGAGTATTTTTTGTGTTGTTATAGCTTTAATTTTCTCTAATAAATGAAATTTTTCTATTTGCTCTTAAAATTCCAAATAAAATTCGAAAAACTTTTTTTTTTCGAACAGGTGAAATTATTTAATTTTTTGTCCCAAATTCTATAGAATTAGCATGTCTGGACTATTGTTTTTTGATATTTTAATTATGCCAGTTCTTTGAAAATTTGTAATTTAAAAAAATATATGAAGTTTTGAATCTGTACCTTGTCTATGAACAAAGTTATGACCCCTAAAGCTCTAACCGCGTAGCTTGGTTGGTTTTTGGTTTATAACTTTGTTTGTAGGCAAGATACAGTGACCCAAATAATATTATTTTGTAGTTTTCTTCTTGTTCTACCGTATCCAATTTAGTTAATTTAAAAATATAAATTTTGAAGAAAGTTATGGGCTTAATAGCTAGCTGAAGGTTTGAAGCATATTAAGGTAAATGCCTACTATTAGGCTTAGGCTTAAGCTCTATAACTTTGGTCATAAACAAGATACAGTAATCCAATTAATATTCGTTTGTAGTTTTTTTTTTGTTCTATTGTATCCAATTTAGATGACTTAAAAATATAAATTATGAAAGAAGTTATGGGCCCTAGTTGAAGTTGGCTTAGGAAGGTTAAGCTTAGGCTTAAGCTCTATAACTTTGGTCATAAACAAGATACAGTAAGACAACTAGTATCGCTTTGTAGTGCTCTTCAAATTCTATCATATTTATGTTAATTGATTCAAAAATATCCATTCTGAAACGAATTAAGACAGGGCCCGTTTTCATCATAAAGCCTGTAATAGAAGAGACCTCACACAATAAAGGTCGAGCTCAATTATCTTGGGCCCGAATGAAAGATATAAAAAAGCCTTGAAAATTTCCGTAAACTGGGGCCCGGGCTTTGGCGGGCCGGCCCGGAATTTTACAAGTATGTAAAAAAGTAATCAACTGATAAAACTGATAAAACGTGAAAATGTCCCTGTGAGACCATTGAAACAAAAAAAAAGATCCCTGGGATCTTCAAAGACTACATCAACGTGGCAGCATTTTCTTGCTGGTGTAATTAATAGATTTATGTTATTACAATACGCTCCGGGAGGGTGGTCTAGGCGACCACACTACATACAAATCGGCTGTTTCGTTGATCAAGGATCCACAGGTGGATAGGGACTATAGTTTAGGGGGACATCGAGTACGGTAAGGATCATAACATGGGATATAAGGTTTTTATACCCTGTCAAAGATAATTTTGTCGTTTTAATGACTCTAGAGCTCAGCCTTAAACCAGTTTCCAGCTACACATCTAGTTCAAAAGAGCCTACCGGCCACTCGACTGCGTAGCTTTGCCTCTGAGTGAGTTATTATTGATTAACTCTAATTAAAGGTATACGACTGTGTAGCCCTTCTTAAAAGCTACAAAACAAACTTAAGATCAATTGAAACCAATAAGTTTGAGATGAGTTACAAGCCAAAGATGGCGTGAAGCATGTTTTCAACTGACGGTGTTGATCACTGGATAGCTCATAACTAAGCCCGAAATTGGAATTTCTTAATGATTTGAAAAGCAACGTGTAGAACATAAAAAGATCTACGAAATGATATAAAATTTAACTATATTTGAAAGCCGAACCTTGCCAAGGGAACCTTATAACGCACGAGTCAGCGCTATCCTGACATCGATTATGCTACCCGCATGGTTAGGGTTAATTCTCCATACTTCCAATATAACCGAATTTTATATCATTCTGAATATTTTATCACGCTCTACATTTTACTCTCTGAAGTTTGAAGAAACTTCAATTTTTAAACGAGTCATGGGTCGGTCAGCGTTAAACAACGCCTATCTAAAAATCCCAAAAATCAAACTAATTTTATGTTTTCCTGCGACACATGTTTGAGCGAAATTTCGGAAATTGCAATGTAATTTATCGTTTCCACCGGTTTTGGCGGCGGCTTGGCGCACACCAATTAAAGGCGCAAGGAGTTTCCGGCCGCCGCGGGTCCCGCAGCGAAGTAGACCTCCAGGAGCAGCGCCGCGCGTTCGTTCGTCATTCTACGAACTGTGTAGACCCACCCACCCACCCGGGGAAAGGAAGTATAAGGAAGGGATAAAGAGAGTATTATTAATCTGATTTCAGAAGGGCACAAAGCAGCGTTCTTTGAGAGTCTGGTTGAGGAGGCGGAAAGGGCTGGTCTGATGCATCTGGTGGATTCTCTCGGAAAAGCACCAATTGAAGCTAGAGCAGTATCGACGATGAAAGCGTAGGCGGGGGAGAACCAGAGAAGAATCAATTGGTCCAAAAGTTTACCGGCATCGCTGTCAGAAGAGCACAGGTTCACTCTGTACTTGGTGGATAGAGCGATGTCAGCTGGGAGTAGTTCATTAGCAAAAGCAGCTGCCGCTTTCAAGCTGGCAAACGACGGTCTGTCTCCATTCGCCAGTCAACTAGTGTCCGATGTCATCAAGGCACAAAGAAGAAAAGAGAGCGAATCTCGTGCACAGCCGACACAAGTGAGCGTGAATACTGTATCGAAGATCGTGGATATGGTTCAAGATGACGAGAAATCGGAGAGGAATGCGTTGGTTGTGACACTTTCGTTTTATGGTCTTTTGAGAGCTGAAGAGGCTTCGATGTTGAAGTGGTCGGACGTCCATCAGTCAGGAAATATGCTGAAGTTGAAGATAAGGAGGGCCAAAAACGATCAATTAGCTAGAGGAAGAGAGACGTTCTGTGATTGACCGGAGGGATCTAAAAGAGATTGTCTGCTTAAAAGATTCCGAGCACGTGCATCGATGAGACCCGGATTGGATTTTGTCTTCCAAAATATCCTAAACGGAACCAAGCTGACGCCGTCAGCGATTTCAGGAATTGCCAAGGATACGCTAGCGGCTGCTGGAGTATCCGCGACACACCATTCACTCAGACGAGGACGTGCCAACCATCTTCAGCAGTCTGGAGTGGATTTCCAAGCTATTAAGGAGACTGGTCGGTGGAGGTCAGACGCCGGACTGCGATGTTATTTGAGCGATTCTCCGAGAGCTCAAGGATTCACAGTGACGGAGTTGGGGGATGAAGTTGGAGGATGAAAATGGGAGATTCCGATGACGATGGACCACCAGTTTTGCAGAAGGAAGTATAATAATAATATGTTCGTTCGTTGCATTCTTTTTCCTTCCCCCCTACCTTCTTTCTGCCCCCTTCTCAATATTCAAAATTGTTGCTTAATTGCTATCTTAACTAATTTGTTTGTTTTAGGTCATTATCTTAAAATCCTGTATAATCAAGATAGTCAAATCCCAGCGTATATCTTTAGTTCATTAATTCAATTGTGACTAGTTTTTAATTGTTGTGTTCTACTTACCCCCAGTACCAATACTTACCAATACGAGTATACTGTACAATCACGTGTATTATCATTACGAGTTTGTAACTTTCAAGCTTAAGCTTCAGCTTACACCTCTAAAAATGGCAAAAATAAATACTCAAATATAGCAAGTCTGTGTTCTACTAATCCTTTTTTGCTCAGGGGGAGCAAGGAAAACAGATTCCCTCGAAACGTTAGGCGAGAGGGAATTAAGTTTTATATCATTTTGTAGAACTTTTCAAGCCCTACGTTTCTATATCAGATTCATATGAAAATATTGATTTTGAAGAAAGTTGTGGGTCGATCAGTGTCCGGTGTATGCATTCGTCACATAGGGATGGTCTCAAGCGGCAACTGTTTTAATCATTCGAATTTTATATCATTTTGTAGGACTTTGAAAATCCTACATTTCTAAATAAATTTCACACAAAAACATTAATTTTGAATAAAGTTACCATGGAATTTACCATCTGGGATCGCACAAATCACACTTTGGCTTGTAGCTCCTCTCAAAATTGTCAGTTTTCCTTGGTCTAAAGTTTATTTTGTAGATTTCAAGAAGAGCTACGCAGTTATATAAAAATCAATCAATTTTAGTTAGCCAAGCCTTAGTTAGAGACTGCTTAAATTTCGATTTTCGATTCTAAAAAACGACGGAAATTGCTTGAAAAGTCTGGAAAGAATTCACAAGAGAATCACATGATTTTCAGCCAAATTTCAGTGTTTTCTTATCAAAAAGTGATCGTTCTTTTTAGAATGTTTTAATATTCGAATTGATAAGAATTTATGGGAAAAATTGTATATATTTTGGGACAAATTTCAGAATGTGAGGTAACAATTCCACTGGAAAAATTCTTTAATTTAAGAACAAATGCATTCAGGGGTCCCAATTTTTTGAATTGAAAAATTATAATAATCCAGTAAAATGTTTTTTTTCTTCAAAATTTCAAAAAGTGATTTTTTAAAAACACTTTAAAGGTTTTTTCCCGTTGACATCACTCTGAAATTTTAGGCGTTCTTTAGGAAAAGTCTACGACATATACAAAAGGCTGAAATTTTCTGATTAAATAGAATTTCAAAAAAGTTCCTTTGACATTTTTTGTCAGAAAAATTCGAAAAATTCAAATTTTGAAAGTTTTGAAGACTCTGTAAATGTTTCTGATGTGTGATTCTGATTTTTTCAGAAGAAGTTGGACAAACCGACACACAGAAGGATCACCTGATTTTTCAAAAAGGGAGGATTTGAAGAAATGGAAATTTTCAAAATTTCGAAAAAAATTGCTTTGAAACAATCTGAAATTCGAAGATTCTTGGAATTTAAATATTTCAAAAATTGAAATTCCGAAAATCCGAAATCCTGAAAATTTAAAATTATAAAAATCCGAGTTTCTGAGAATCTCAAAATCTGAAAATTCCAAAATTTCTGAAATTCTGTGTTTCAAAAATTTGAGATTTAGAGATTTTAAAATTCCGAGAAAATCTGAGAGTCTAAAAATTCTGAAATTCTGAAAATTTGAAATCCAAAAATCAGAGTTTTTGAAATTTGGAAAATCGGAAATTTAATAAATCGGAGGTTCTGAAAATATGAGAATCTATAGTTCTGAAATTCTGGATTTCAGACTTTTCTAATATTCTAAAATTCTGAAAAGCGAATTTCTAAAATTCAGAAATTCAGGAAATCTGAAAATCTGTAATTATTGAAAATCCGAAATTTGAAAGTTCTGGGATTCTGGAAGTTTTGAAATTCAAAAATTTTGATTTTCTGGAAATATGAGATTCTGAAAATCTGAAAAGTTTGGGAAATTCAGAAGTTCCGAATTTCTATAATTATGAATTTCTGAAATCCTGAAAATCTGAAAATCTGAAAATTCCAAAATTTCCGAAATTCTGGGTTTCAAAAATCTGAGATTTTGAGATTTTGAAATTCCGAGATAATCTGAAAATCTATAAATTCTGAAATTCTGAATTCTGAAATTCTGAAATTCTGAAAATCCAAAAACTGAAATTCTGAAATTCTAAAAACTGATATTTGCGTTTCAGAAGTTCTACAACCCTAAAGTCTGAAATTCCGAATCTCCGAAAAATATATATTTTTCAAATTTATCAAAATCTAAAAGAAGTTCATTCCTCCATTTCTAAAACTTCCTCATTTCCCACTTTCTTCATTAATTAATCTTCAAAACATAAAGTTTATATATCCATTCAATTTTCAAAAAATTTGAAAATTTTGAGAATTATTTCTTCCGGAATTTTCGAAAAAGGAGGGAATATACGAAGCACATCACGACATTTTAAATGTAATTAAGGCGATAATTAAAGGGTCACAGAACTAAAGAATAGAGAAAATATGCACTAAAAATAGAGAACACTTGAAAGGAAATAGGCGGGAAATTTGAAATATTCAAATTTCAGAAATTCAAAAATTCAGAAATTCAGAAATTCAGAAATTCCAGGAAATTCAGAAATTCAAAAATTCAGAAATTCAAAAATTCAAAAATTCAGAAATTCAGAAATTCAGAAATTCAGAAATTCAAAAATTCAGAAATTCAGAAATTCAGAAATTCAGAAATTCAGAAATTCAGAAATTCAGAAATTCAGAAATTCAGAAATTCAGAAATTCAAAAATTCAGAAATTCAAAAATTCAGAAATTCAGAAATTCAGAAATTCAGAAATTCAGAAATTCAGAAATTCAGAAATTCAGAAATTCAGAAATTCAGAAATTCAGAAATTCAGAAATTCAGAAATTCAGAAATTCAAAAATTCCAAAAATTCAGAAATTCAGAAATTCAGAAATTCAAAAATTCAGAAATTCAGAAATTCAAAAATTCAGAAATTCAGAAATTCAGAAATTCAAAAATTCAGAAATTCAGAAATTCCAAAAATTCAGAAATTCAAAAATTCAGAAATTCAAAAATTCAGAAATTCAGAAATTCAGAAATTCAGAAATTCAGAAAAATCCAAAAATCTAAATAAAATAAAATAATTCAAATTAGTTTGGACCAGATCTCTGAAATCCAGACCTACAATTTTCATTAAATTAACCCTAATTGACCCAAAAGTAACATCAGTTTGCCCTTTTTCAGATCCAATATAAACAATGGAGCCAAAAAGGAAAAATGTGACAATTACAATTTTTTTTTCAATTTTCAGAAATTTTGAATTTTTGAAAATCTGGAATCTTTTATTGGAATTTACTGAATAAGTCAAGATTCCTTAAAACCCTTGAACCCTTTTTTTTCAAAAAATTCAAAAAAAATTCATTTCCGGGTAATTTGACCTGGACCCGGATCCCGGGTCAAGCGATCTATTCTAGTTCCTTTTTGACAAAATGACAATGACATCATTGTCATTTTGTCATTTAGAACAACCCGGAAGGACCAGAAAGCGATAAACTAAAAAAAAAAATTTTTGTCACAAAAGGTTGAGACGAGACAATTAGGTTAAAGGGTAATTAGTGGGGGAGGGGGGAGAGAGAGTCGTGGGGTAATTAAATATTATTTTTTATGAGTTTAGGAACGGCTGTGGTCCCTTTTAGCAAAGAGAAAAATGACGTAAATTGTTGACGTTTTTAATTGGATAAAAATTGAAAAATTGGAAATTTCAAAAATTGAATTTGAAACTAGGACATCATGGATTAAGCTGAATGAGTTTGCGGAGGTGATAATGGATCAAAAAACAAAAATATTAAAATTGAGTAAAACTGAAAAAATCTGAAAAAAACTTTTTCAGAATTTTTTTTTGAAAACTACCGTATCTTTGTCAATTTTTATTGAAAGTTAACAATTTTGATATTTTTGAATTTGGCTCGTTCAGAGCTTCAAAATGAGTATAATCATGACTATGCTCTGCCCACTTTGATTTATCAGGCGCGTCGCGGTCGGCGCGTCGCGTATCTTAGTGAAATTTCCAAATGGGCGAAGCCTAGTCGTGTTTAGGCTCATTTTAAAGCTTAAAACGTGAGTAATTCGAAAATATAACAATTTTTGGGTTTGGACGAAAATTGACCGAAATACGTCTTATAGTAGAAATTTACAAAAATCAAATTTCTCAAAAAATCTCAAAATTCAAAATCATTCTTGTTTTTTTTTTCAAAAATGAAATTCAATAATTTCAAGCTTTTTTGAAATTTCTCCTTTTTTTCCCTAATTACCCCCAATTAACAAAAATTAATGTTCCAAAAAATTTCAGACAACTTTTCCCAAAAAAAAAAGCGCATTTTTAAAGATCTCAAAAACCTTAAAATCCCAAAAATCTCATCATAATGATAATATAAATCAGTGCCTTTCAATTTAAAAGTCAACAAGCTCCGCCCCCTCTCACCCCCAAATTGAATATTCCCCAGGAAAAGTGGGCGGAGCCGGAAAGCAGCTCAAAACGAGAGAGAGAGTGTTAGAGAAGAAGAGACGCAGAGAGAGAGAGAGAGAAAAATGGAGGGGGAGGAGGATCTATGAGAACATTGAGCCCATTCTCACACATCATTTTTCATTATTCAATTTTTCAAAAAAAGAAATTTTTTGAAAAAAAAAATTTTTAATCCAAATGAACTACAACACCCGACTACTTATACAGCTATTTGAAATTTCTGTTATGGTAGGTTACTGTAGTTTCTCGGAAATTTTGAAATGTTTCGATTTTTCGAGAATTCCCATATTTTCGGATCTTGTGTAGACCATTTTTCGACTATTCTGGAACATTTCAAAGCTGAAATATTGAAAAATCTGGAAGTTTCAGATAAAAAAAGTTCTGAAATTTTCAAATTTTTCAAAATTCTCAAAATTTCAGCTCTAGAGTGTCCTAGAATAGTCTAAAAATGGTCTACACAAAAATCAAAAAAGTTTGCCACCGAGTGGAATCGAACTTGGGTCGTCAGATTGTGCTGAAAAACCCACTGAGCCATTCGTGCAGTTTTTTGAAAAATGTCTAAAAATCGATTTTTCGGTCATTTTTCGAGCTTTATCTTGTGAACATATGTTATTATTGCCATTTTTGACACTAATTACGCTGTTCGAGGCTTTAGAACCTTTAAAAATTCAAAAATTTCCCAATTTCCCCATATCCAATTCCAGGAAATTCTCATTTTTATAAAAATTTTCTGAAAATTTTTTTCTGAAAATTTCAGGTTATTCTGAAATTCGTTTATCTTCGAGAAAGGTTACATTTTTTGGCATTTTGATATTTTGATAACATATCAAAAATGACAAAAAACAACAAAATTAAAGTACCAGGAAATACAAGCTAGACATTTTCCGGAATTTTTTAAAAAAATTGAATTTTTTCAAATTTTCAGGAAATGTTAAAAAAAATACATTGATAAGGATAGGCTTAAATTTTGGAAAAACCCAGAAAATTCTTTTTTTAACATTGATAAGGATACTGTAAACACTCTAATAGAACACCCGAATCATCGTCAGATTTGAGCCCATTTATCTCATTTTCTGTAAAAGATATCAAAAAGTGGTAAACTGATAAAATGTAGCTGATATCATGATAAACATTTTATCAATTGACAACTTTTTGATATCTCTCAAAAGAAGTGAGATATATATGCTGAAAGTTTACGGTTTGAGTGGCATTTTTTGGAATAATTTTTGGAATTTTCGGAAATTTCGAAAAATTGAATTTTTGTGTTCTGAACGTTTTGTTAATTACGTAGAAGCTGAAAATTTGACATTTTTCAACTAAAAAGTTGGTTTCAGCTGTGTCTGAAATCAGAAAAAAAAATCTGAAAACTTTGACAAAAATTCAGGTGTTCCCTAAAATTTGTTTTTTTGGTTTTTGGGGATTTTTGAGCTTCCTGAAAAAATTTTGTGTAATTTTTAAACAAAAATAATCCTTCAAAATTTCAAAAAAAAATTTGAAAAATTTTAGAAAAAAAAACCATAACGTTAAACTTTGAGCTAATTAATCTCGGTTACTATAGAAGATATCAAAAAGTAATCAACTGATAAAATGTTTATCATATTATCAGTAACATTTTATCAATTGACACATTTTTGATATCTTTCACAGTAACTGAGATAATTGAGCTTAAACTTGACAGAGTATGGGGGCCCTTCTATTACAGGTTTTAAGGTATTTTGCAATTTTTAAATGTCCGAATTTTTTAAAATCTAAAAATCTGGGAAAATTTTCACAGTTTCCCTTCAAAAAAGGCCAAAAAATGCGCATCATTTTTCATAAAGTTTCCCCAAACCTTTTCGCCAAAAAATGTTGAAAATGTTTATCAATAATCTTTTCATTCTTTCATTGATAAAAAAGAAATCAAAATGATAACAATTTGATATGTCTAGAACACATTATCCTAATATATCATTAAAATCTTAATATCACCTAATCTATAATTATCCACCCTCACTTTTCTTTTGATTGAAAACAATAATTTTGAGTTTCTTGGAATTTTCGAAATGTTTCAAACTTTTCGAAACATTTTCAGATAATATGGCACATTCTGAGAAAACTTTGAACATTAGTTTTCCAAAAATTGGGGAAAATTGAAAAAAAAATCGAATTTTGAAATTTCGAAATTTTATTTTTCGAAAATTTGAAAATTATTCAAACTGGCCACTTTCGAAATTGAAATTATCGAATTCCTTACATTGTTAGCTTCAAAATGAGCCCAAACACGACTAGGCTCCGCCCATTTTGAAATTTCCCCTAGACACGCGACGCAGGACCGCGACGCGCGCCGGAAAAACCAAAGTGGGCGGAGCCTAGTCATGATTATATTTTTTTCAAAGCTCTAAACGTCCCAAATTCAAAAATATAAAAATTGTAAGTTTCCAACAAAAATTGACAAAGATACGGTAGTTTTCGTGGTGGGACCTGAAAACTTTTTGGAAAAATTTCAAAATCATCTGAACTAGGTCATGTTTGGGCTCAAAATGTTGGAAATTTTAAGAGCTACTCAAATTTAACAAAAGAAGTTTGTCTAAAAATCGACTTTCAGCGATTGGGAAGTGTCAAAATCGCTGAAAACTTGAAAAAATCGAAAATTTTCAAAATCAACCGAATTTGGTCATGATTATACTCAAAATGTTGGAAATAGCTTGAGGATTTTAAATCAATTGCTTTAGAATCAAAAATCAGTCTAAAAAACAATTTTCAGAAAACATTTTTTCCAAAATTTCTAAAAATTTCAAAATCATCCAAATTTAGTCATATTTGGGCTCAAAATGTTGGAAATTTCAAAAGCAACCCAAATCAATTACTCAATTTGATTATTTTCTACAGATTCTCTCTCTAGACGCCCGAATACCAAGGAGGCACTCGAAACGGAGCACAGCCGGCAGTTGTATAAGCACAGCGAGCCAGCAAATGCACGAAACGTTTTCAAGGTTAATAAATCGGAAAGACGAGGAAATGTTCTCATTTTTCCAACCGGATACGCAGGTATAAAGGATTACTGTAGTTCAAAAAATTTTGAAAACGAAACAATTCCAGATTCTTCTGGAATACCAACCAAAGCATCGACATGCGCTAACTCAAAAAACGAGGGATTGCTCAGCGCCGCCCGTGGACAAGTCTTCTGAAATTTTGCCAGATCAACCGTTATCAGAGGGACGATATGCCCTTATCATCATGTTTTGAATTATGATGAAAAGGTAATTTTCGAATTTTTCGAAAAAAAATTTCCTTCAAAAATTCACGTATGTAGTTGAACATTCGAATCATTCGACATTTTGACCTGGAACATAAAAAATGAACCTGCTCAATTATGAATGAGGGAAGTGATCAGAAGTGAGCCGAACTTTTTTTTCGTATATAGACTAATTTAAAATGCAAACATCATTTGTACTTTCTTTGTTCATTACAGAGAATACCCGCAGCTATTTCTGAAGTCGAGTGTTCATGCAAAGAAGTCAAAACGCCTGGTGGGTCTTTTAAAAACTTCTAAAAAGATAACTGGCGCCAGTGGGGGTCGAACCAACAACCCCAAAATTCGGGTGATTGGTAGCCGAGCACACACGCACTACACCACGGGCGCACAACAAGGAGGAGAGGGTGCAAGGCGTATAGAAAGGGGGTGGTTGGCGCGCCTTGGTGGTGGCCCATTGGGGGGAGCGCGCGGGAGATTTTTTTTGAGAAAAATTCAAAAAAATCAATCAACTATCGATTTTCGGATTTCAGGCGGCGGCTCTATCCACTGCGAACCTATGATCTATAACATGAGGGTTATGGTGTTCGACGAAGGCTGCGAAAAGTACGTAGAACGAGTCGAAAAAGTCGCCCTGGCATGTGTTTCGGTTTTTTCGGTGAGTCATTATTATGGTTTTCGGGATTTATTAGACTCCAGAAAATTTGTGTTAAAAAAACAGGGAAGCTGCAAAAAATTAGGGAATAACAAGCCTGAATTTGACAGGTTTTTTGGAGGGTGGCTAACACGTCATCTGCTTTTTGGAGCTGAAAACAAAAGAAAACAAGAAGAAATCACTTCCCGGATGTCTAGAACACCATAAAAACGAAAAAAAAACTTTAAAAACAAAAAATGACCACCCGGGGGTCGAACGACTGACTTCACTCTCCAAAAGAAGGCGCGCTAGCCACTCGGCCACGCGCGTAATATAAAGAAAGAGGGGTGGAAGGCGTATAAGAGTGGGTGCCTTTTCAAAGCTTGCCGGCTGTCGGGGAGGGATTTTTTGAAAAATTCAAAATTCCAAAATTTCAGAATCATGTGTCTTCTGGAACTGTAACTCACAATAAAGCACCTGGAGCTCCGATATAATTTTTTTTTCGATTTTTTTTTGAATTCCCGCAATTTTTAACCATATCTTTAGTTTGTTAGTGTCTTGTTTTTTCGCTTATTTTTTGTTAAAACTCTTTTTTTTTGTACATATTTTATATTTTTGCCATATTTCTTTCAAAAAACTTGCATTTTTTGTGTCATTTTCTTTTATATTTGTATCATTTTTCTGGGTTTTTTTGAATTTTTTGTGTCAAATTTTAATTTTTTTGGTGTTTTGGAGAAAAAAAATTATTTTTAAACTTTTTGTTTATCACACAGACAAGTTGATAAGGAAGTAAACTACACAAGCATAATTGTGGGCTTCTAAAAATGACATTTTTAGAATTCCCAGGTCAGAAATAATAAAATGATGAGATTTGAAAAAACTTGAATTTTCAGACTTTTGGAGTTTTCAGGGGGTTTTCTAATTTAAAAACTGGAAAAAGGCAGTTTTTGAACATTTTATCAAAAAATTCGAACTCAGCACAGTGAACGCTTCAAAATGAGCCTAAAAATAATCATTTTTGGTGGAAAATCGTAAATTTTCGGGTCCCACCACGAAAACTACCGTATCTTTGTCAACGTCGGTCCAAACTCTGAAATTGTTGAAGTTTTGGATTTAGTACGTTGAGAGCTTCAAAATGAGCCCAAACATGACTATATTAGGTAAGAAATTGAAATTCGAAAACTCAAAATTTTGAGGTCCCAACACGAAAACTACAGTATCTTTGTCAATTTTGCTGCAAACTCAAAAATTCTTAAAGTTTTCAATTTGGCTCGTCTAGAGCTTCAAAATGAGTATAATCATGACGAGGTTTCAAAAAATTTGAAATTTGAAAATTATAAAATTTTAAGGTCCCACCACGAAAACTACCGTATCTTTGTCAATTTTGCTGCAAACTCAAAAATTCTTAAAGTTTTCAATTTGGCTCGTCCAGAGCTTCAAAATGAGTATAGTCATGACGAGGTTTCAAAAAATTTGAAATTTGAAAATTATAAAATTTTAAGGTCCCACCACGAAAACTACCGTATCTTTGTCAATTTTGCTGCAAACTCAAAAATGTTTGCAGTTTTGAATTTTGCGCATCAAGCGCTTCAAGATGAGTATGATCATGACCAGATTCCGAGCATTTCGATTTTTCAAGCGCGTCGCGGTCGTGCGTCGCGTGTCTTGGAGAAATTTCAAAGTGAGCGGAACGTAGTCGTGTTTGGGCTCATTTTGAAGCCAAAAATATAAGAAAATCAAAAAACTTGTTTTCCAACTGAAAGCGGTTCATTAAAATATCTCATTTGTCAAAAATTCCAAAAAAAATTATGCATTAAATTATTTCAGAGTGCTCAGCTTTACTTTTAAATCGATGAAAACAGATCATTGAGTAGTTTGTGGTCCCAAAATCTTGTCAATCGAGAAGTTGTTCTTCTTGGCGTTGGCTTGAGCCACCTGTGCTCTGATCCAATCATCCGGCAAAAATTGATAGCGGAAATTCTTTCCGGCAACCTAAAATTCAGACATATTAAGTAAAATATTTGTATTTGGTAGGAAAAAAGCTTCACGATGAGCTCAAACATGACTAGGTTTCGTGCATTTTGATTTTTCAGGTGCGTCCGGTCGTGCGTCGCGGTCGTGCGTCGCGGTCGTGCGTCGCGTGTCTAGGTGAAAATTCAAAATGGGCCGAGTCTAGTCGTGTTTAGGCTTATTTAAAAGCTCAAAACGTGAAAAATTCAAAACGTCAAAAATTTTTGAGATTGGACAAAAATTAACCGAGATACGTCCCATAGAAATCTTCGAAAATATCAAAATTATCCAAAATGGGTCATGTTTAGGTTCATTTTGAAGCATTTGACCTCACAAGTTCAGATATTTAGTCTAAACTCACTTTCTCCATGATTCCAGCTCGATAATAAGCTCTCAAGCTTCTGGACATCGATTCGTAGTTCATCTCTCGATTGGTCCCTTTATGAGCGCTCCATCGACGTGCCACTTCTTCTCGATCTACTAACTGAAACACCATTTCCTCTTTTTTGGTCCAATTGATAATTTGGGCCAAATTTGGGTTCGTTTCAGAGGTTAAAACGAGTTTGAACAGGAAATTTCGAAGTTTGGGGTTTGGCGCTTTTTTGGGTTTCGGTTGCTTGTTTTCTTTTGGTGCCATCTGAAAATTGGAATTTTTCTAAACTGAAAAACTTCGAGAAATTTTAGGGAATTCAAATTTTTAGGGTAATAGGCTACTACTGACTTATTTAGGCCCCTTAATACCAAAAATTGCTGTTTTCAGTGGAAAATTAGCGATACTCTTGATTCCTGAACGATTTCTGAACTTGTTATACCCCGAAATATCAAGAAAACTTGAAAAAGGTCTTTAAAAAGGAAAACAAAAACAAAAAACCCCAAAGGGAATCAAACCCCTGACCTTGTGCACACCAGCGCATACCACATCCCCGACACCACCGCGGCAACATAGGCGGCAGGTGTGGAACGCAATTAACAGTGTGGGCCCGGGCGGCACCTCTTGGTGGGGGAAATTTCAGTGGTGGGGTGTGTGGTTGAAAATGGAAATTGAGCTCAAGAAATTTCAAAATGCTATATCTCGAAAGCCAATAATGGGAAAGTTACGAAAATTAGAGAGTTTACTAAATAGATAAGTAGTAGTATATCCTAAAAATTTCATCAAGTTCTGAGAGGCTGGAGGGAAGTTATAATCAATAAAAGAGAACAAATGGAACGCAACTAACAAAATAGAGATAATACAGCTAATAAGACTCACCTATAGGTCTAATTTGCCGCCAAAAAAGACTAAAAAGACCCCGCCTCCTTTTCCAGTCCATTTCTAGCACTTCTGTAATAAAACTACTAGCCGCTTTCACTAGGTGAAGAGGGTTACTGTACCTTCCCAAGTGGGAATAGCGGAAGTCCCTTTAAAGGATCATAAATTGTTGTATACTGTATTGTTAGTGGATTTATGGGTCTTACTGTATGTGAAGGAGCACTTTTACGGGGATAGCAGTGTGCCGACGATGGGACAAAAGGCACCACAGCCTAAGCCTTAAACGGACCGGATTTTTAGAGGCAAAGTTTTAAAATTCGAAATTTCAACAAAAACACTCAAACTATTAAGAATTTTTAACTTCTTTCGATCGAACGATTTTTGGACCTTGTTTCTTTGGGACGTATCTTTTTTCATTTTCGTTCAAACCAAAAAATTCAATCATATTTGAACGCCTCGCGTTTCGAGCTTCAAAATGAGCCTAAACACGACTTTCATTTTTCCAGAGCGTCGCGGTCGTGCGTCGCTTGTCTTGACGAAGTTTCAAAATGGGCGGAGCCTAGCTGTGTTTGGGCTCATTTTAGAGCATTTAACAAGAAATCTCACAAAAAGTGCTCCATAATGAGCCTAAACATGCCCGATTTCGGATGATTTTAAATGATTTTGCGAAAAAAATGTTTTTTAAAAAATTTCTTTGGGACGGATCTCGGGGGGTTTTTGTTCTAACTCAAAATTCTTTTATTTTTTGAATTCGCGACGTTGTTAGCTTTCAAATGAGCTTGAACACGACTAGGCTGCGCCCATTTTTAAATTTCTTCGAGACACGCGACGCACGACCGCGACGCGCCTAAAAAATCAAAATGAGCGGAGCCTAGTCGTGTTTGGGCTCATTTTGAAGCTCTAACTGAGTTAAATCCAAAACTGTGTGACATTTTAAGTTTTATTAATAGCTGAAACTTTGTCGAAGTCGATTTTTATTTAAAGTTTTTTTTTTATTTTACAAGAGTTTCTTTAACTAAAAAGTAAGAAAAAACAATTAGTTAAGTAAAAAAAGTAGTTCCGCCGACAAATGTGAAAAACTACATTGTTCCAGTTGAATTCAGCCACCATTCGCCGAAAAGAATTTTACAGAATTCTCAAGAATCAGATATGTCTGAAATTTTCAGAAAAATTCTTTTTTTTTTTTGGCAGTTAATCGGGTCACTGTAGTTGATGTAGTCCACGGATAGATATTGCATGCCTTGCCATTTTGATAAGCTAATTGGAAACTGGAAATTGATTTCAGATTTGAACTACGCGCTTTGAGTGCTTCAAAATGAGCCCGAACACGACTAAGCTCCGCCCACTTTGAAATTTCACCTAGACACGCGACGCACGACCGCGACGCGCCCGAAAAATCTAAGTGAGCCAAGCCTAGTCGTGTTTGGGCTCATTTTAAAGCTCTCAATGTAAAAAATCCAACAAACGAAATATTATTGAGTTTGAAGCAAGTTTGACAAAGTTATGGCCTAATCAAATTTTGAAGATTTTAGCCAAATTCAAAAAAATCAACAAAACATCAATATTGTTAGTTTTCAACTTGAAAAAAACCACAATTCCCCACACAAGTATCATCATTCTGACACTTTGTAATACACTGGGACCATGATAACGTGTTATCGATAACAGAATCATTGAATAGTGTAAGTCGTCCCCATTGTACAACCATGGTCCGTGTTGAATTCTGGAAAAAAAAGGATTCTCAAAAAAAATTTTTTTTGAAAAACTTTAAGCTAATCTTACATTTTCATATGTTCTGACATATGTTGTAGGAGTACTGTAATTGAAAAAAAATGCAGAAAAAATTAAATATTTGCATTAAAATCGAAAAATAGTTTTGGGAATATTTTTCAAAATTTTTGAAAAATCTTTTTTTGAAAAATTTTATTTTTGAAAATTTTTTTTTTGATGATCTAAACTTCCTCATTTTTCTGCATGCTTCAGTTGCAAGTCAAAAATGAGAAAATTTCAAAAAATGAGCAAAACACAAAACTTGGATTCTATAATTTTTATTATAACTTTTAGTTTCAAAACTCTAATAAATCCGAATTTAACTCATTTTGAGCTTCAAAATGAGCCCAAACACGACTAGGCTCCGCCCACTTTGAAATTTCACCTAGCGCACGCGGCGCATGACCGCGACGCGCCTGAAAAACTAGAGTGGGCGGAGCCTAGTCTTCTTTAGGCTCATTGAAGCTCTCACTGAGCCACATAAGATAATCTCTTTCAGACGGCCGAGACATCAATGAGATTCAACTTCTGGAGCCGGACACATCGCACAGCCATACTACGGTAAGGAAAATCGGATATTTCTAGAATTTTCAGATTTTTTTAGCATGAAAAAATTTTCTTAGAATGCAAAATATCCTTAAAAATTTGAATTTTTTGATGTTGTGTAGCTTTTGTGAGATAATACCCATTTTAGCCGTCGATAAACGCGTTGACAGATACGAGGACAGCGGTGGTTGGTTCTAATTTTTATTGTTAGATTTTTTGATTTTTTGGATTGCTCAGCTTTAATTTTTTGCCTTTTTTCCTGCTTTTCCCTAATTATATATGTTGCATGACCTCATTTTACCCATTTAATCGCTTCTAACTTCTACAGTAACCTCGCCACGTCACCATCACCAGGACACACACTAATTGGCTAGTTAATTGGCCAATTAATTAACTATTCTGACACCAAAAGCTTTTTGAATTTTTTTTTATTCCAAAAATTTCAGGTTTTCATTCCTGCACCGGAACCATTTGTGAACCAAGAAACCGGAGAGCTTATTCAGAGCTTTGAAACGAGCCTAAACACGACTAGGCTTCGCCCACTTTGAAATTTCTCCGAGACACGCGGCGCACGACCGCGACGAGCCCGAAAAATCAAAGTGGGCGGAGCCTAGTCGTGTTTGGGCTCATTTTGAAGCTCTTGATTTCACAAACAATAGTGATAAGCGAAGAGAGGTGGGGAGTGAAGAATTTCCGAAAAATTACAAATTTGGGGTGGGGAGATCTCAATTTCTAGAAGTTCATCAAAATAAGTGGGAAAATGAGATTTTTAGAGGGGGTAAAAAGGGAGAAACGGGGGCGGTTTTTTTTTTGGAATACAATTGAGGGGGAAATTGTTGAGATTCGAAAAAAAAGCAAAATTACTGGTAGATATCAAAAAGTGGGATTGGAAAAAAATTACATAAAAAGATGATTTGGGGAGATTTGGGGGCGGGGCTTAAGCATTTTTTTTGTTGGAATTTTTCTAGAATTTTTTTTTACTAGAATTTCAATCTAGAATGTCAGATTATATAGAAAACAAACGAGAAATGGGTTAAAATGGGGAAAAAAGGAGAGGCTTTGATTCAAAAATATGTTGGCCACTTTTTTGGACCATTTCTCACTGGGAAACAAACTTTTTCGGGTAAAAAAACTGAATTTTTCAGATTTTTGACTCAAAAACACTCGAGAACGGATAATTTAGACGTTTTCTGTGAACCAAACAGGGACCACGATAAGGAAGTTTCCGGAAGCCCTTGGGAGTTCCAATTCGAGACGATTTGGACCTTGAAGGGGCGTGGCTTCGAAGAAAGCGGCAAATTTCGGTTGAAGACGTTCCCCATTGAATGCCAGCTCGAGTTCGGTGTCTTCGGTGGACTGGAAAAAAAAAATTAAACCTTTATTTTAAAAAATGTTTCTTCGAAATTATAAAAATCCAATTTTTTTTCTTTACAAACTTCATTTTTGCAATTCAAAACATATTTTATCACATTTCGCAGGCTATCAGCTTCAAAATAAGCTCAAACACGACTAGGCTGCGACCATTTTAAAATTTCACCGGGACACGCGACGCACGACCGCGACGCGCGTCAAACATCAAAATGTTCGAAACTTAGTCGTGTTGAGGCTCATTTTGAAGGTCTCCCCATGGCGAATTCAAAAATTTTAATTTCCAAAGACTTGGATAAAAACTGATCGAGTTACGGTAGAATGTCTATTTTGAAATTGCCCGAATCCGAAAAAAAATCCAATTCTCATGTTTAAAAAAAAACTATCTAGGCTAAAAAGACAAACTAAAAACGAATTTTTTACTCAAAAACTGAAAAAATCACCTCGAAACCCATTTCTTTGATTACCATTGGGGCCACCATCAAGCCAAACTTCTGTCCTTCCCTCAGCTGAACGTCCACCTCTTTCTGGACGTGTCCTATCGTTCCAACTGGAATGGAAGCAAACGATTTTAGCATAGCTTTCAAATCCTCCGGTTCGTTTCCAATTTTCAAATGTGGATATACGTCTGGGATCGCCTTCTCGATGGCTATTGCCACTTGATCCACATGTTCCTCAACGATACTTTCGATCGGGGTGGAGAGTTGGGTGCTGAAAATTGAGTGATGAATTTGTTAAATTTGAATTTCGCGCGAAAAATGTTTCAAAATGAGCCTAAACACGACTAGGATCCGTCTATTTTAATTTTTCAAACGCGTCGCTGTCGTGCGTCGCGTATCTTGTTGAAATTTCAAAATCGGCGGAACCTAGTCGTGTTTATACTCATTTTGAAGCTGGGGACGTGCTAAAATTAAATTCGGCGCAAAAAATGGGTCATAATAACCCAAACCATGACTAGAAACCGTATGTTTTGCAAAATTAGCCCACGACCCTTGAACTAATTACAAAGTAAACGAATCTTAGCTTTGTTTAGGCTCATTTTGAAGCTTTTTTCATGGGAAATTTGGATTTGTCTTATAGAATGCTTCAAAATGAGCCCAAACAAGGATAGCCTCAGCCCATTTTTAGATTTAGGCTCCGCCCCTTTGAAAAGGGATATCCAATTTCAAAGTGAACGGATCCTAGTCGTGTTTAGGCAAACTTGAATCATTTCTTGATAACGAATCCGGATTTGTCATGCAAAATGCTGCAAAATAAGCCCAAACACGACCAGAATCCGCCTATTTTGGAATTTCTCCGAGAGACGCGACGCACGACCGCGACGCGCCTGAAAATTCAAATTAGGCGAAATCTAGTCGTGTTTGGGCTTATTTTGAAGCATTTTTCATGCTAAAACTGAATTTGTATTAAAAATGCTTAAAAATATGGCTAAACATGACTGGTTTTGGATGATTTTGAGATTTTGTGAGAAATTTGATTTTTGTAAATTTCTATAAAACGTATTTCGTTCAATTTTTTTCCAAACTCAAAAATTTTGGTATTTTCGAATTTTTTACGCTTTTTGCTTCAAAATGAGTATAAACACAACTAGGCTCCGCCCATTTTGAAATTTAGCCGAGACACGCTACGCAAGACCGCGACGCGACTGAAAAATCAAAGTGAACGGATCCTAGTCGTGTTTAGGCTCATTTTAAAGCTCAAAACGTGGCAAATTCAAAAATCAATAAATTTTCAAAAATGAACCGAGATACGTCCCATAGAAAATTTCGAATATCTCAAAATCATCCAAAACTAGTCATTTTTGGTCTAGTTTTGAAGCTCACAACGCGTTAAATCTGAATATCTAATTGAAAATAATAATAAAAATTTTACGTAGGAAATGCTCCTCTGTCAAGCAAAAGAGTCAGAAGAGGCATTGACCCGTTCTTGGCGACAAAATCCACCAGATTTTCTCCGTTTTCGAGGGGCAGATGAATGGGGTAGTCTTTTTTGACCAATTCGGCAACTGGCTCCCAACGCTCTTTTGAACTGTGTCTGCCTTGGTTGGAAATCGCCCGTTTGACGGTTTCATTGAGTTGGGACATCTGAAATACCTTCTGATCCGAATCGTTGGCTCCAGAAGTTCCTTGCGTGTCTCCTGCTTTTTCAGAATCTTGAATCTCACTTCTGGACCATTCCTCGAAGAGCTTCTCGACAGAGTAGCCACTTAGATCCCGTTTTTCGCCCATAGGAACCCCCTTGAAGAATTTGACATTCTTCACAAAGCCATCAGGGAATTTATAGTGAAATTCATCAATCGGCCTCTTTATTTGCTTTGTGGAACCTCTTCTTTTTTCCTTGTCCTTCGTCCAGACCTGGAAAATAATAATGAATTTCAAATTTTCCGGTTCATGATCTTCTCAGCAAATTCAAATTTTGCACAAAAAATGATTTGAAACGAGCCTAAACACGACTAGGGTCCCATAACATTGATGTTTCAGGTGGGTCGCGGGCGTGCGAAATAGATATTCTACCGTAACTCGATCAGTTTTTGTCCAATTCTTTGGAAATTTTAATGTTTGAATTTGCCATGTGGAGACCTTCAAAATGAGCCCCAACACGACTAAGTTTCGAACATTTTGATTTTTGAGGCTCGTCGCGGTCGTGCGTCGCGTGTCTAGGTGAAATTTCAAAGTGGGCGGAGCCTAGTCGTGTTTGGGCTCATTTTGAAGCTCTTAGCACGCCAGAATCAAATCCAAAACAAAACATGCTTCAAGATAAGCCCAGGCGCGACTAGGATCTACTTGAAATTAAGCTCCGCCCCTCCAAAAATGGGACCCAAGCTAAAATAGAATGTATTTTTCGAGATTTTTTTGAATTATTCTTACTTTGTTTAGGCTCGTTTCGAAGCTCTAAATAAGCTAAATTCAAGTTTTGAATAAAAAATGCTTGAAAATGAGCCCAAACACAACTAGAATTCGCTCACTTTCAAATTAGGCTCCGCCCCTTGTGAAAATGGAATCCTACTTCAAAATCAGCGTAACCTAGTTGTGTTTAGGCTTGTTTTAAATTTCTCAACAAGCCAAAATCACAATTTTTTTTTGAAATGCTTCAAAATGAGCCTAAATATGACTAGATTCCGCCAGCTTTAATTTATCAGGCGCGTCGCGGTCGTGCGTCGCGTGTCTTGAAGAAATTTCAAAATGGGCGGAGCCTAGTTGTGTTTGGGCTCATTTTGAAGCTAAAAGCGTGAATAATTCGAAAATACAACAATTTTTGGGTTTTAACAAAAATTGACCGAAATACGTCTTATAGAAATTTACAAAAATCAAATTTCTCACAAAATCTCAAAATCAGTCATGTTTAGCCATATTTTCAAGCATATTTAATACAAATTCAGTTTTCACATGAAAAATACTTCGAAATGAGCCCAAACACGACTAGATTTCACCTAGTTTGAATTTTCAGGCGCGTCGCGGTCGTGCGTCGCGTGTCTTGGAGAAATTTCAAAATAGGCGGATTCTGGCCGTGTTTGGGCTCATTTTAAAGCTCACAATGAGCCGAAATCAAATTTTACGTTTAAAACGCTTCAAAACGAGCACAAACACTACTGGGATCCCCTCATCCTGAAAGTAGGCTCCGCTCCCTTAGCAATGGGGACCCAATATCTAAAATAGGCGGCGCCTAGACATGTTTAGGCTCATTTTGAAGCTTTGAGAGCGCCAAATTTAATGATAACTTACCCATTCAAAATCACTCTCATCGATGTCTTCAGTGGGCTTGTTTTTCCCTGAAAAACATTTTTTTTTAATTTTTATTAAATTTAAAAAAAATTCAAAAACTCACAATTGCGATAGCATCGTCTAAACTTTTCAAAATTATTGAGAATGTAAATGACCACTGGATTGTTTTTGTTCCAATCCACAAAACTTTCCATTCTGACCCATTCGGCTTTATATGGTCCCTCCCAGTAGGTCCTAAGACTTAACACTCCATGTACACAACGACAGTCGATGATTCGATCCACCTGGAAAAAGTGAATTGCGAATTTTAAATGAAAAATCAAAAAATTCTGAGAAGAGTACTAAAAACTAGAGTTTATAGGCATTTCTAGAAACCTAGATACATTAAACGCCCGAATTGTCAACTTTGAGCATGTATATCTCGGTCCCTGTAAAAGATATCAACAATTTGTCAACTGATAAAATGTAGTTGATAATATGATAAACAATTTATTAGCTGACACATTCTTGATATCTCCTAAAGGAATCGAGATAATAGAGGTCAAACTAGACGCAATGGGCGCGCTACCACAATCCCTAGCTACTTACCCTTTGAGCTCAATTATCTCGGTTCGTTTAAAAGGTAGCAAACATTTTTTAATTAATATCATGTAGCTGATATTATGATAAACATTTAATCAGTTGACCACTTTTTGATATCTCTTACAGGAATCGAGATAAATTGGCTTAAAGTTGACGTATATTGCTAGTTGCGAAACTCACCATGTACTCTGTCTCGACCATGGCCTTCTTTTGCTTCTTTGGTTTCGAGCCCTGAAACAAAGTTTTGTATTTTTTCATGAACATTTATTTTTGCTCAACCCACCTGCTCCTCTTGCTCTTCCAGCTGCTTCGATGTTCCGACTTCTTCAATTTTTTGCTTCAGATTTCGACGAGGGACTTTAATGGTGATAGGGTAGCAGCGTTTGAATTCGTTGAGTGATATTCCGGATGGTCCGGATGCTGGCTGAGATGGTTCAGAGGTGAGGCTCTGCTTCACTGTTGAACCAAGCTTGTCTGAGGACGATTGTCCAGGAGAGCTTCGTTTCTTGGTGGATCGTTGAGCTTTCGGCCTCTCGGATGTTCTGGAGACATCCTTCTTGTCCCGAATCTTCGGGGGTGACTCTGATCCATCAGTGGAGGCATTGGGTGGCTGGGATGAAGCAGATATCTCAGCAGTTGTTAGTTCTGGTTGATCCATTTCGGCTAGGGTAGAGGCAGATGGATCGGAAGATCTGCTCAGAGCTGTTTGAAGCTGACTAGACGGTCCGGGAAGATCCGGTTGCCGACTTGCTTGGTTGGATGATCCTGGTTGGTCCCTTTTGGCTAGGGTAGAGGTAGATGGATTGGAAACGTCAGAAGGTCTTTTTGAAGCTATTGGCTGAATGGGCGGTGTAGCTAATGCCTTGTATGGTTCCGAAGGTCCAGGGATGGGGAGAAACTTTCCAAGAAGCGTCAGCATGTCCGAAGAGCCATTTGCTTGGCTCGATGTGCCAGGTTCGGAAGTTCTCTGTGGACCAACAACCATTGCATTCATGAAATTGTGAAGGTCCTCAGCTTGACTATCTACCAGAATACTCCGAACGGTCACAGCAACATCGTCCATCTTGAAAGGAGCTGCTTGTCCCTCGGCCTGACCAGATCCAGACGGCATCTGATTCCTCAACCTGTTCGCCAAGTACTCGAGACTTCGTGGATCCACCTGGCTTATGGGAGCCACTTGGAACATGTTGGTCTCCTTCAGATTGATCGAAGAAGGTGGTCCGGAAGATTCCGTTCCATCATCGATAGCAACAGTTAGAGGAGATTGAGGCAAAGACGAATCATGAAGAAGTCCTGGCGGTGTGGGAGGGGGTTCTGACATTATTCTGTAATAATACATTTTGGGATTTTTGAGAATTGGAGAGGTTTGAAGAAAAAAGGAAGAAAAAATTAAAACGGTCAGTCTCAATATATGAATTGAGGATTTTTTTTTGTTTGAAAAATGAACATTTTTTGAAAAAATTCCGATTTTTATGATTATTGGATAGTTTTAGGGTTTTTTTAACTGAAAAATTGATTTTTCAAATTTATTTTACTCTAGAATCATTCTCAAACGGTAAAATTCAGGTTTTCTAAAAATTTCTGAAAAAAACATTTTTTTGGATTTTTTGAATTTTTGACAAATCCCGATTTTCATGATTATTCGATGGTTTTAGGGGTATTTCAAGGTGAAAGTTTGATTTTTCAACTCAATTTTGCTCTAGAATCATTTTGAAACTGTGGAATTCTAATTTTCTAAAATTCTGAACATTTCTGAACATTTTCTGAACATTTTCTGAACATTTCTTTTGGACTTTTTTGAATTTTTAAAATTCCCGATTTTCATGATTATTTGATGGTTTTATGGGTTTTTTGAGTTTAAAAAATTGATTTTTGAGCTTGATTTCAGCCTGAAATCACTCTAAGACCCCAAATCCCCCTTAAATTTTTAAAAAATTAAGAAATATTTTTTCGACAAATTTTCAAAATTCCGAAAAAACCATTTTCATCAATTTTCCCAACTTTCTAGACTAATTTTGTCTAAAAAATTTGAATTTTCAATCTATTTCATTTCTAAAACCACTCTTTTTTGTACAATTTCAATTCCCAATACCGGTTAAAAATCCCCCCCAAAAATACCTTAAACACTCTAATAAAACGCCATCCGCACCGTCCACTTTGAGCCTATATATCTCATTTTCTGTAAAAGATATCAAAAAGTGGTCAACTGATAAAACGTTTATCATAATATCAACAAAATTTTATCAGTAGACAATTTTTTGATATCTCTCATAAAAAATGAGATATATAAGCTCAAAGTGTACGGTCCGGATGGTTAGAGTGTTTACAGTAGTATGCTTAAAATTCGTTATTTCCAATCAATCTTTTTTTGGTCATTTCAAAAAACTAAAGTTCGGAAAATTTCCAATTTTCAAAAAATCGTAATTCCCGAGTCTTTAAAACTAGTTTGAAAATTTTCCGCAATTTCAAAAATTCAAAATTTTGCAATTCCAGAATCTTTTTTTTCTCTAAAATTCAAAAGTTTAAAAACCAAAAATTCGAAAAATCTAGAAAGTTTTTGAAAGTCTAAGGACAAAAACGAATTTTAGTTTCTAAAAATTCAAAATCTACCGAAACTGAAAAATCTGGTTTTTCAAAAAATTTTGAAAAGTTCAAAACTTTCACTTTCTCTTAAAAGTTTGAGGGTTTTTTTCAGTGAAAGAACTTTTCATTTTTGTTTTAAACTAAATGAAAAAAAAATTGTTATACTTTAGAGAAAAAAAGCCCCCCATTTAGATAGAAATTGACAATGAAAGAGTAAAAGAGAGATGAGAGAATTAGAGAATCAGACAAGATTTTTGGAAAAAAAACTATTTTTCTCAATTCCCAGCGATTCGTTTTTCAAGATTTTAGTCTTAAAAAATCAAGAATTACGTTCCTGAAGATATTCTATAGAAAATTCTAGAAAAATCCAATAAAATTGACCCAAGAACATGGAATTTAGGCCTAGGCGCAATTTCTCAAATTCCAGAGTTTCAGGAACCTCGATTTTAGCCAGTTTTCGGGTTTTAATTGGTCTGAAAACCAGAAAAATTGTCCCAAAAAATTGGAACATTTAGGGACAGAAATAGAAATGCTAAAAAGGTTAAAAAGCGAGAAAAAAGAAGATAAGGAAAAGGGAGAAATTCAAAAAAAAAGAAAGGAAAAGGAGAAGAAGAAGAAGAAGAAGAAAAAAGAGAAAAAGAAAAAGAGGGGTGCACTGGTGAGTGAGTG